GACAATGAGAAAGCGATGCAGAGTATGCTATAGCAAAACTAAAAAAAGAAACTTGGTTATGTATGGTTGTTCTGATTGCCCAGAATTCCCAGGGTTATGTCTCACCCCATGCTTCCGAGAATATCATAAATATTAACAAATGTATTAGAAATTTTTAATATTTATGATATTTTTAGCTTGCAGGTATTTCATGATTTCAATTAATACACACACTATATGTTATAATTTGTTTAATTGAAGATTTTTAAATACTTATAACAAACAATTCTCATTAGTAATTACTAAATCAGTCTTTTTAATGATTATAGTAAAAATCTACCTTATAAATAAGTACAATTATGTAATATTATTGCACAATGTTAATAAATAAACCTTAATATTATGTAAAACCGATGCTTTTCATTTAACTCGCCTCTCTCTCTTCATCTAAAACTCTTTTCATTTAAAACTTATGGTTTATTAATAAAATTATTTTTTTAGCGTTTCTATAATTTTTTGCATTATAATATATCTCTCATTAATACTAAAACGTAGTAACTCGTTAGATACGAATTTCCCAAAATATTTACAGGCGTGAATATCCACGACGGTTGTACTCGTAAATTGTTCTTTATCTTCTACCATTATATTTTCAGTAAACGTTGAAATATCTTTGGTGGATATTTCTGTGTACGTTGCACAATCTTTCGTAGGTTTTTTTGTACCTTCCGCCGCAGAATTTATTTCATCTTCATTTTCTTGACCAGGTTCCCAGTCATCATAAGTCTGGGAATTCGTTCTAAATAAGCCTGTTCGACAAACTCGTAGTCAGTGTCACATTGCGTTTCCAGTTGTGATTCTGGGATATATTTTCTTTTTTTTGGTAATTCTAGAACAAAAAAGAATATATGTTTATATCAAGCAAAAAAAAAAACTTGCTGTGAGCATTACGACGAATTTTTCTGTAACTACTTTTTGTTTAAAATAAAAAGTGCGTAAACTGAATTGTAAATCTTTTAAATTTATGTAAATAAATGTAATTAAATAAAAAATCTATCATGAATTTAAATTTTGTCGACAGACTAGAAAAGAAATAAGTATAGTTTTATAAATTCAATGAAAACTACAAAAAGGTTTACAACACCTTACATAAATGAGTCACTTACCTTCCATTTCCATTAATACACGTAGATAATCACTTTTTTATACACTAAACGAACAATAAAACCGCTTACGTTCGATTTTGGTTGGCGACTAAACTTACAGCAAGTGGAAACAACAAAAAAAGCGATACATTACAATACATGGCGGAAGGCGCCTTAGGGGAGCCATCAAAGTGCCTGGCGTTGGGCGCCCCAGAGGAGCCACGAAACATTTGTTCGTAGCCAGGCATGAAAGTTTGTCAAATAGTCCACCGCATTGAATCGGTTAAGAAATAAATTTTGCATTTCAGTATATTTTTGCGGCCAACGAAAACAAATTCTCTGCGATCGAAGTCAGGAACGTCAGCTGTCAAACGCTTGAAAATATGTTGTCTTGGATTTTGCAATAAAACCTGGGGAGTACTGTAATAATTCTTATATTTTAACCTAATTTGTCGCCCCAGATATGTATTTGTATTTGTTTTCAGCTTCCACGTCCACGCCTCGCTGCCGTGTTAAGAGCCAATGGTGGTCGTCGCGAGGCTTCCTCGTCGTGCCTTTTAGTGACTTTTAGTGACCTTATTTTAATTTTTCAAGGGTGATTTTTAATATTATGAATAACGATGTACGTACATGCTCTCAAACGGATTTCCTACCATGTCAAAATTGTTCCGACGGTAGGCTTTTTAAAGGTAAAAGAGGCTTAAATATTCACATCAAACGTTGTCATAGTCACCCTGTTGCAGCTTCACAGCCTACCGCATTTTGTAATAAGACTATTAGCGATTATAATGATAAAAATTTAAAGTTGTTTTCGGAACAGATCTATTATTACCATAGCAATGTACCAATACTCAAAAGGATTCCAAGAGGTGCAAGGATGCAGCTTGCCAAGTCATTATCAACCTGTATTCAAAATTGTTTCTCAAATACTGAATCTAGTTGGCATAATTTATTTACCTTTGCGTATTCCCATTTTCACTTTGATAAATCGGTATCAAAATCAATTACTTCTCAGTTAAAGAGCAATTCATTCAAAAATGTTGAATTAAAGACTGCCTCATCCATAACTAAACCCCCCCCCGTAAATTCGATTTAAAGAGAACTGTAGAGACTAAAGTTATGGATGGTGATTTAAAAAATGCATCGCGCATTTTATTTTCAGACGACATCCTTGCTCCGTATAATGATGAGACTCTAGAAAACCTCCGACAAAAGCATCCATCGATCAATCTTCCGCCGCTCCTACCGCTGCCTCCCGATTCTTCATATCAGGCTTTGCAAATTACCGATAAAGACACTTTCGAGGCAATTATGTCATTTTCAAGTGGCTCTGCTGGCGGCATTGACGGTATAACGCCACAACATCTGAAAGATCTTGTAAGCGTTTCCGCCGGTGATGCTGGCAGAGCGCTTCTTAATAATATTACCAAATTATGCAACTTAATGCTTTCCGGAAAAGTAAATCCTAAATTTGTTCCTTTCTTATACGGGGCAAGATTATGTGCCTTTAAAAAAAAAGATAATGGTATCCGTCCTATTGCTATTGGTTCTACCTTTCGACGCTTAACTTCAAAATTAGCATGTAGGCACATAATCTCCGGCCTTAAAAGAAAATTCCAGCCTATTCAACTAGGCTTTGGAAGCAAAGGCGGCTGTGAAGCGGCTGTACATTCCGTTCGAACTTCTTTAAATACTAGTGATTTGGATGTACTTCTGAAGGTTGACCTAAGGAATGCTTTTAACTCCATTGATAGAACGACTCTGCTGAACGAAGTGGCTAACCATACACCAGAAATATATCACTATGTTTGGCAATGTTACAGTGAAAAGAGTAATTTATTTTATGAAAACCATATTATTGATTCTGCTGTCGGCGTTCAGCAGGGAGATCCGCTAGGACCAGCATTATTTAGTTTGGGAATTAATCCAATTATTTCAAAATTGAAATCTAAACTTAATGTCTGGTACCTAGACGATGGTACTCTGGGAGGTAAAGTTGACGATGTACAAAGTGATCTTATTGAAATTATTAGACAATTTAAAAATATCGGTCTCGATGTAAATAATTCCAAATGTGAACTTTTCTTTTCCGAAAAGATTTCTTTTTCCGACAAAATCATTTTGACCCAAAATTTTAGCTCTATCATACCGGGAATTAACGTAGTCCGTTCAGATTCACTTTACCTCTTAGGTGCTCCTTTGTTGATACCAAGTTTGGAAGCTCATTTAAAATTAAAGTTAAGTCAATTTTTAGATCATGTCAATAAATTGTTTTTACTAAATTCGCACATTGCGCTTACTATTTTGCGACATTGTATTCTTGTACCTAAATTTACGTACCTCCTTCGCTCGAGTCCAGTTTGGAAATGCGGTGACTTTTTGAACGAAATTGATTTCCATCTTAAATCAGCTCTAGAAAAAATTCTAAATTTATCTCTTAATGAATTAAGCTGGACTCAAGCTACGCTGCCAATTCGTTTTGGTGGTATCGGTGTAAGGAAAATTTCTAGTGTCGCTCTACCTGCCTTCCTTGCTTCCGTGCATAGCGTAAATAATTTATGTAATAACATTCTTAATCACGATTCAGAACTTTCCTATGCAGGGGAGGCAAGGATGTCTTGGCTGTCTATCTGTCCCAACGAAAATATCCCACTGGAAGTAAACCTACAAAAACAGTGGGATGTTCCTTTGGTGCGGAGAGTACAGAGAGATACGTTTCAATCTTTAGAAAGTAATTTAGAGCGTGCCCGTTTCCTAGGAGTCTCATCTAAAGAATCGAGTTATTGGCTTCACGCTTTACCATCAAGTAACTTGGGCACATTACTTGACGATGAAAGCTTACGCATTGCTGTAGGAATCCGTCTGGGGGCACCGATTTGTCAACCACACCAATGCCCTTGTGGTGTCAGTGTAGACAAATTTGGTCTCCACGGGCTTTCTTGTCAAAAAAGTGCTGGCCGTTTTTCTCGCCACGGTTCCCTGAACGACATCATCCGTAGGGCTCTTGTTTCCATCAATGTTCCATCTATTTTAGAGCCCTGTGGCATTTTACGCGACGATGGTAAGAGACCCGACGGTTTAACATTGATCCCTTGGGGGAGAGGCAAAGCCCTTATTTGGGACGCCACTTGTGTAGACACTTTGGCTGCCTCTCATCTAAGGGGTACTTCAGTCAGGGCCGGGGCGGCATCGGAGGCAACTGAAGTAAGTAAATGGCGCAAATATGAGTCTTTATGTTCAGATTATATATTTGTGCCATTTGCTGTTGAAACATTAGGTCCGTGGGGTCCCCGCACATCAAATTTTTTTAAAAGTTTATGTCCTAGGCTTAACGCAGCGGCTGGTGACAAGAGAGCTGGTTCTTTTCTCGCGCAAAGGTTAAGCATAACTATTCAGCGAGGAAATGCAGCTAGCGTTCTTGGCACCATGCCGCGTGGATTAGGTTTATTAGATAATATGTAATTTTAGATAGATTTAATCTTGTAAATATTAGATCAATAAAGATTGTCTTTTATTGTTGATATTTAATTATTCAATGTTTCATAGATACTAAGGTTGCTGTTGACAAATAATTAATGGCAATAAGGCTTTACCGGGATAACGAATCAATAATTAGAGCTGATAATAAATAATTTACACTCGATTTTAGCCATTAATTAATTCATATAATTTTTTTTTTAGCAAAATTAATTAATTATGCATATTCAAATGGTAGCTAAAAGTTACGTTATTTTCGAAGTACGAGTGTTAAATTATAGAGCTAGTTTTAAGACACAACATAAACGTCGTTGAGTGATGTCATCTCTGTTATCAATGTCAAGGAATTGGCAGATTCACATAAACAAGAAAATATATATTTAAGGAAATTCAGTAAAAATGGGTTTATTTGGCAAATCTCAAAACCACTCCCCAAAAGAAATGGTGTTTATATTAATAAATGTTAATTTCATCTTTATTCATTTCATTTTGTAATAATAAAAATATTTTAGGTAAACGAGTGGTCTCACAAACTTCGAAAAGAAGGATATAATTTGGATAGACAAATTAGAGGTATGTGTTCTATATATTAAGATATCAATTTCGATTCCATTTTTTTCGCTAGAGCAAACATTAATTTGAACATTTCAATAAAGATAAGTCATTATACTATAAAAATGTACTGAGTAATTTTATCTGATTTAAATTGTTACAATTTCTAAATTAAGCAATCATAATTGTAACAACTGTATTGAAGTCATTTCACAGTAATAAATATTGCATTTTCAGCAATTCAAAGAGAAGAAGAAAAAATAAAACGCTCACTTAAAGAAGCAGCTGCTAAGAATGATAAGCAAGTGTGTACAATCCTGGCAAAAGAGATTATCAGATCAAGGAAAGCAATTAGTAAAATTTACACAAGTAAGGCTCATCTAAACTCAGTGCAAATGCAAATGAAAAATCAATTAGGTAAGGTGTTATAAAGTTTTTACAAAAATTACCTAATATACTGTTTCTATTGCATCAAATTTTTGCATTATTTGCTCATAAGTTTTAAGTTTGCTACCACTTGACACGTAATATATTTAGTGCCTACCTGCCTTTCTCTTGCTGTTTTCACCTACAGCGATTTTGACTAGTATGATCATTAAAAAAATGCAATAATTTGATAACTTCTAGTTTGGCTTTTAAATGAGTCATGAATCCAATTTTGGCAACATATATACAATATAGCAAGCAATACAAGGTGGGGATGATTTATATGTATTTCTACTGCATTTTTAATGAATTCTAGCCTTTCCTCTTTAAAACTCGTCTTCTTTTTTTGCACTTTGTTTTGTACATATAGTGTTTATTCCTAAGTAGATAATGGTTAATCTATTTGAATTGATCATTCTGATCAATTCAGAGAGTTTAATTATCTTTTGGCAACTCAAATAACATTTGAAAAGATATTTGACAGCTGATTTGTTGACTTCTATGATGATAAGTGTTTCAGAAACCAGGCGTCAAATATTCAATTGTTTCTTTCTTGAAATGAACTGTGTTTTCATAGTGAAGGAGGATGCTGCTGTTATTTAACAAATATTTTCCAAAACAAAAGGCAAACAATAGTTACTACCACCAGTACAATACCAGTCTGTAGTTGTGTCTGTAATATGGGGAATCAATCCGTTATAAAGGTTACAGATGCCTAAATGGTTATGTAATATTTTTTGTTGTTGACTCATACCAATGTCTAAGCTTGCGTGAATCTGCTGGTTGGTCATTCTCTTATCTCCCTCTATCATGTGTCGCAAAGCATTGATGTTATCTTCAGATGACCCTGATGAAGGGCATCATCTGCATCGACGAATGTAGAACATATCATGGACTGAAAATTTTCTCACATTTAATTAATTTTGAGGTGGAACAAGAATTGGTGGCATAAGTCACAAAAACAAATGACTAATGAATGCAATAGGTCACATTAAGATACAAAAGAGTTCTATATTCAAAATTTATAAGTTTTCATTGTCAATGTTTCCAACTGGCCAGTTCTAAAAAACTTTCAGTGTCACCCTGATTAATTAAAATATATTGCCTTGATGTTCAGTTTTACAGAATAATTTTTGATAATGCCCTAATTCACATAATGTTTCAGCTACTTTAAGGGTAGCTGGTTCTTTGCAGAAATCGACAGAGGTAAGAATATTAATTGTTTACATTTTTTACAGCTGATGGATCCACTTTGAAACATCCAAGTTCTTCTTATCTTAATTATATTTTAGGTAATGCAAGCCATGCAAGCTTTAGTGAGATTACCTGAAGTAGCCCAAACCATGCAAGAGATGAGCAAAGAGATGATGCGTGCAGGCATAATAGAGGAAATGTTAGATGAAACCATGTCTGCTGTTGAAGATGAAGAGGAAATGGAAGAGGCGGCGCAAAGCGAAGTCGATAAAGTAAAGTTGAAATCGTATACCATATGCACATTTACATGTTATTGGCTAATTGAAGCCTCTTTTAGTGTGGTTGTTTAATAATTAGTCATTAATGTTGCCAAGAAACACTACTTCAAGAGTTACATGATTTTTTTTTCTAAACAAAATAATGATGAATGTTCTGTACTGGTAGTAGTATCATTCTGTCTGTACCATGACCATGGACTCTGTATTTTTGAAGTGTCTGGAGTTATAATCAAAATCAAATAATTAATTTAAATGATTAACACAAGAAATTGCTAGAAAGCGAAAGAAATTACACAATTACTATGTTAAGTAATGAATGCATAATTAAAATAATAATCAAAATGGTGAGAATATACATAAATGCATGTTTATATTATATTTTTATAGAATATATTATTTTATATAGTTGTATGGACCTGTATATTTGCTTATGTATGTTTGCTTTTCACACTGGGGTAGGGTATCCAGATGTTAATTTCGATTTTCAATGACCGTAAACAACTTCCAAATGTTGGTTGGTTACTAATGCTAATTGTGTTTTTTGCGATAGGTCTGTGGGAGCTGACACAAGGCAAGCTCGGCGAAGCACCGGCGCCCCCAAGCGCTGTGGGCGCTCCCTCCACCAGCCGCGAGCCGGAAGCGGAGCCTGACGAGAGCGAACTCGACGAAATGCAGTCCAGGCTTGAGGCTCTCCGTTCCTAGCTCTGACTTAACACGTGAGTGCTATTAATGCGATTGGATGCAACACGTGCTGAATAAGGTTCGCTGGTAGGTGGTTGGCAAATATTCGTGGCCCACGCCCGGTTTCAGTAACACTGCTCATCGTAGAAGTTTAACTAACCAATTTTAACTAACAAATGGCTTTTCAATTAATGTTATTTAAGTTGCCAAAACGATTGTTAACTCTTTGAATTGATTATTATGATCATTCAGATCAATTCAGAGAGTTTAACAATCCTTTTGGCAACTCAAATAACATTTGGAAAGTCATTTTACAGCTGATTAGTTAACTTCTATGATGATCAGTGTTTCAGATACTGGGTGATGGAGGACCAAATCTAAGAAATACATTTTTAAGTTTGACACTATATTACACTATTGTGTGATTCTTATTTATTCTGCAGTTATTTATATATCATTCTAATTTTTAACGTGTAACCATCCAGTATAATAATAATGTACAGAATATAAATAATAAAGGTACAGAATTACAAGTCGGCGTTACTATACATTCTTAAAGAGCCCGCTTTGACAAATTTTATAAAAGCAGACTCTGGTTAATCTACTACAAAAACTACATTATTTTCACTTCAAACCGGCCACCTGTGAGGTCCATATAAGTATTGACTGAATGGACATGTTAGAACTATTTTTGGTTTACTAATATCTTTAAACATTTCTTACATATGGAGATAAATTTCATAAACTTTCTTTTTTGTTCCAGAACTGCTGTCTCGAAGTTGGAATTAAAGATGCTGAGGCAGAGTGGTAGTGCTTGTTCACAATGATTGCCTTCTTTATTGTAAATAACTCTTAGTTAAGTTAACATCAAATAAGAAGAATACATATTGATCATTGACTTGCGCATGGCCGTTTATTGCCCAAGCAAAGCAGCAAGTCAGCAGTTCTTTTTATATTTATACATGCAGCATAAAAAAAGAAGTCTGGTATTATTTGACCCAGAAGAGATCTTATACACCTTAAAATCTACAAGTTAGTTAATAACTTCATAAACTTAATGAATTTGTTTTTATTCATGTAACGCAACTACTAATTCCTTATACAATTTTCAACAGGTCAATGTTGGAATCGTTTTTAAAGCTAATATTAACATCGGCTGTCTTTTCAGCTCTCTGATCTTTTACTTTAAATTAATCTTTAGATTTGCCATGTGACAAAACCCTTCGAATTTTTAGCTTGAATATTTACAGATAAATAATCTATCAAAAAGTATTTTAACTATTGTTTATGTATAGATATACAAATGTATGTCTCTTTAAGGAGATCCATATTATTTATTATAAATTCAGACCATAACTCTAATATGCGTTTGTAACTTTGTTTCAGTATTACAATTATAAAATTTATGCCTTAAATTATCGTTAAAAATGCACAGGGGCGCACTTTAAATTTATATTCACATGTTTTTTGAAAACAAAAGAGACAACAAAAGAATATAACGACATTATTTTTGAACTAGACAATACTAGTTTTCAGTTAGAAAAGCCTTTCATTGTACATTTAAAAAGTCGTTAAACTATGAGGAGGTCAAAATTTTATCGTTTTGTGATACACTAAGTAATTGATGTGAAGTTTATAAATTGTTTATATTAAAGTAACTAAGCTGTTTGTTTCGCGTTTTAATTTCTTATACGTGATGAAAATGGAGCCGCGATAGCTCGGTGTCCGCTCGTTTTTAATTCAATATACACTATCAACCAGAGTTCAAATTCCCGGTGCCGCCACCAATGAAATTGTCAATTTTAAGTGCTGACTTATCAAGCGCTCCGCAGTGAAAGAAAACATCGTAAGGAAACCAGCATATTTCCGAAATAATAACAAAAAATATTTTAAAGATATGCGAAGTCCGTCAATCCGCAATAGGCTCGCGCCTATGCCAGAGGCCTTTGCCCAGTAGTAGGACATGACAGCACATTATTGTAGATGAATATTAGCATTTATTTTAACTTCACTTTAACTTTACGTTTTACGCGTGACAAGAAGAAATCATAGCTTGGTCGCAAAGGACAGTGTCTTCTCTTCTATCAGACTTATGTCCTCCGCACACTTCCCGTACCCGTCTAGAGTGGAGTCAAAAACCTGAAAAGTAATAACTGCCACCCATGGACATTCGCAACACCCGTAGGGTTTGCAGAAGCATTGCCATCTTTTAATAAAGTGGACCCTGGCAACATCACTCACCTGACCGCAGACGTACAATATTCTTCCATGGTACTTACCTGGATGGACCTATCTACTCCTGCAGCAGCTGAAGTTGTTGTGTGGTCTCATAACAGTTTTTCTTTAGAAGCTAAGTATTAAAATATATAAATGATTCTCACTCTATTGGTGGAAATAATATCGATATCTTAGATGACTATTAGCATTTCGTTCTAAATATAATACTATTAATCTACTACAATCAATAATAAACAATCTAATTGGTTAAAAGGTAAATCACTCAGGAATTATTCCCGAAATTTCTTTTTGGGACAGTTTTAATAAAAACATTAAAAAATGTCTTTTGATTTATATAAATATACATTGGATAATACTATTATAACATTGCTTATAAATAATATCAAGAACTAAATATATCACAGTTGGTTACAACATCTTGGATGACAAATCTAACTCTAATTGCAGGTCTTGTATTGATTCCTTCTTCAAAAGTGGCTTTCTATCAATATCTTTTGTCTTCTTGGGGTTCTTTTTCTTCGTTAGCCTGGAGAAGAAATTAGGCATATTAGGTTTTCCTCGCAAAAAACTAGTTCTATAAACTATAATAATAATGCCCACTCAAATAACTCTTAATTTATTTTATCACTGCTACTCATCTTAAGACGGAAGGGTCCAAAGATATATAGCAAGAACAACGCTGCATTTCGTTTGGTGAGTAAGGTTACTGGCGCACACTTAACTGAAAGGTGGCAAAGCATTTGTAAACGGTTGTCTACGGGTGTTTTAAATATATATATATATATATATATATATATATATATATATATATATATATATATATATATACATACAAGGAATGGGCTATCACTTAACATCGGGCAAACCACCAGCTCGCTTGCTAACTTCTTACACAAAAAAGTTTTTTGACGTTCAATAAGAGCTTAAATGATAAAAAACCGGCAAAGTGTGAGTCGGACTCAAGCACAAAGAGTTCCGTACCATTTTATATAAAAACAACAAAAAAAAAAAAACAACTTGTATGGGAGACCCACTTAAATATTTTTTAATTCTTTTTTTTAGTATTTGTTGATAGGGTACCTTTTGGGTACGGATACCTAAAAATATAGGCTACAATGAACCTTGGCTTCGCTGACCTGTTGATGACTCCGAGCCTAATTAGTAATAGGGACCCATTTGGCCCTTTGTATACGGATCCCTAAAGATGTACTTGATATACGTAAATGGAACGAAGGAACCTTGACTTTTATACCGACCTGTTGATGACGCCGTCTGGGTGGTCCATCATGCGGACGATGTCCGCCTGGTCCGAGGAGTCGAGCGGCGCCACCGAGATGTCGCGCACCGCCCGGAACTTGCCGCAGTTGTTCAGGTGCTCGTTCTCCAGCCGGAAGAAGTTCCAGATGAAGCGTCTGTTGCGGTCGCCGGGGAGGGAGGGATCAGTGGCGGGTCATGGGGGTCATCGTGGCCTAGTGGCGATTGCAACGGCTCCCACCCATATTTAGTATCGTTCATCGTCATATGCTAGTAGTGCTTGAAACGGAAAGCAGTCGGTGCATACACCGATTCTACGTGAGTTTAGCCGCTCTATGGTGTTTATTCTTAACTGTGGTGGGGCCACGCAGCAGTCTCGGCTTTTGCACGAATGGGCGGGCTCGTCCAGGTAAGTACCACAACCTCACCGAAGACCAGCGTCAAGTTGTGTGGTAGCCGGAGCCAAATTTTCAGAAGGTTGTCAACCTCCTGCATCTGCAACCCTCGGGTGCAGCAGATCCATGGGCGGCGGTATTCACTTAACATCAGGTGAACCGTCTGCTAGCTTGACAACTTTTCCCATAAAAGAAAACTTGTTATACTCATCAATATAGCGTCTTCAAAAGTGCGAAGTACACGCGTAATTGTAAGGTTATGCTCGAGACTTGTACAGAGTTATTGTACGTACCTGAAAACTTCGAGCGGCGATAGTATCGAGACCATAGTTTCGCCGCTGACCAATTTGTTCTCCGTGAGGAAGAATGACACCGTCCATATGAAGCGGAGTACGAAGTCTTCGACTATCGCGAAGTAGTAAAACTGTAAGGGGGTAATTGATTGTGACGAAATAAGAATCAGGAATAAATAGACCTTGTTACGCAATAAAGTTTATTTATAACTACTAGCTGACCCGGCAAACGTTGTTTTGCCATATAAAGTATTTGTAGGGTAGAAAAAAAAAATTTGGGGTGGACCACCCACTTATACGTTATCGCTTAGGGGTATAAAAATGACTTATAAACCTATTCTCATACTGGATATGCATATAAAATTTCATCAAAATCGGTCTAGCCGTTATGGAGGAGTATAAACACTAAAACTGTGACTCAAGCACTTTATATATTAGATATATGATATATGAGTACATGATATAGTATGGCCAACATTACCCTAAAAACAGTCAGTGTAGATATGTTTCCAATTACTACTTAAAAAAAATGACTGCTGATTAGTAATTAATATCTACAATGGCCAGTGTTTAGTGAGTGAGTGATGAGTTGAGTGTTTCAGAATTTTAGGGCGTTAATCTCATAAAGTCCGCTCCCGCCACTCACCCCGGGACTGTACACGATCTCCTCCCTGAGGAACTTGTTCTCCGCCGAGGGTCCGCAGCTGAACAGGCCCCAGTCCATCTTCACGTCCCACGTGTACGTGTACAGCGAGGACACCAGCTGGCACGCGAACCAAGCGTACAGGAACGGGTTGTCGTATGGGTCCGCGTAGTCGCCTGCAAATTGACCCCAATGACTCCACTTGACTCTACGTGAATTATGTGCATAGGAAAGAAATACATCAAAAAGAACGCAAGCAAAAATGTATAAAACATATCTAATACAGATAAATAGAATTGGAGCAGTTTCTGTAATAATAAAATAACCGCTTTTTACTAAATGCATATGGATGTATACACGGTACATGTACCAAAATATATTTTTTTACAGCTTTTGGCCTGGCTGTCTGTTCCGGCTAATCTCTGAAATGGCTGGACCGATTTTGACGAGACTTTCACTGGCAGATAGCTGATGTAATAAGGAGTAACTTAATTTTATTTTACAAATTTTATTTATTTTATATTACACGCGGACGAAATCGCAGGCACAGCTAATGATATAACAAAATTACATAATTATATCTAATAGTGATAGAGAGCTATTTATTTATTTACTTATTACACTAGTTTAAATTTTATGAAGGAGACTTGACAGTAAAGATTCCACAAGTAAAAAAATTGATAAACTTAGGACGTATGATTTTTAAAACCAATTTATTTTCGATAGTATATTCAAATTATATTAACTTAGGACGATAAATGATTTATAAAACCAAGTTTCTTTTGATGAACTATGGCGGTTCGAGTAAAACGGTAATACATGCTAGGAACTGTTCAATATTCTATTATTTTTCTATTACTATTTACAACTCTAGTTCACAATTTAACGTCAATTATACCAAACGTCTCAATGGCACATAACACAAGGCCCTATTAGCAAAGGATGAAGGCAAAATATAACATTAGAATGTAAGTTAGTTTGATAAACATATACCGACTTTGTACGCGTCGATGTCAAATTTTAGGCATCAAGATTGTAAAAAAATAAATATTTAAATTGTTTTCCTAGTTGTGTACGTATGATCAGTTATCTAGTACCATAGGTACTAGATAACTGATAAACATACCTTTCTTTTGTTTATAAATAAATATTATACCACTTTATAAACACCCCGATACTGGAGAAACACTATGTACCTCACACGATATTTTTTCAATAGTGGGGATCGAACCCACACCCTCTGGGGCAGGGTCACTACCCACTACGCGAATCGATTTATGCCCGTTTTACATAGATTCGTAACTCTCATAACGACTTGTTGATAAAAGGCGTGTAGGTATGCCCGGTTTCTATATTAACATTCCTTTAACCTACAAGTGGTTATGAAAGTTATGAAGCATTGAAACTAACGGCCGTTCGTTGAATATAGGAACCGGGCATTGGCTATGTATCTAATGGCCGTTCGTTGAATATAGGAACCGGGCATTAGCTATGTAACTCATGGCCGTTCGTTGAATAAAGGAACCGGGCATTAGCTATGTAACTAATGGCCGTTCGTTGAATATAGGAACCGGGCATTAGCTATGTAACTAATGGCCGTTCGTTGAATATAGGAACCGGGCATTAGCTATGTAACTCATGGCCGTTCGTTGAATAAAGGAACCGGGCATTAGCTATGTAACTAATGGCCGTTCGTTGAATATAGGAACCGGGCATTAGCTATGTAACTAATGGCCGTTCGTTGAATATAGGAACCGGGCATTAGCTATGTAACTCATGGCCGTTCGTTGAATAAAGGAATAAAGGAACCGGGCATTAGCTATGTAACTAATGGCCGTTCGTTGAATATAGGAACCGGGCATTAGCTATGTAACTAATGGCCGTTCGTTGAATATAGGAACCGGGCATTAGCTATGTAACTCATGGCCGTTCGTTGAATAGGAACCGGGCATTAGCTATGTAACTAATGGCCGTTCGTTGAATATAGGAACCGGGCATTAGCTATGTAACTAATGGCCGTTCGTTGAATATAGGAACCGGGCATTAGCTATGTAACTCATGGCCGTTCGTTGAATATAGGAACCGGGCATTAGCTATGTAACTACGGGTCGTTCGTTGAATATAGGAACCGGGCATTAGCTATGTAACTACCGGCCGTTCGTTGAATATAGGAACCGGGCATTAGCTATGTAACTACCGGCCGTTCGTTGAATATAGGAACCGGGCATTAGCTATGTAACTCATGGCCGTTCGTTGAATAAAGGAACCGGGCATTAGCTATGTAACTAATGGCCGTTCGTTTGAATATAGGAACCGGGCATTAGCTATGTAACTAATGGCCGTTCGTTGAATATAGGAACCGGGCATTAGCTATGTAACTCATGGCCGTTCGTTGAATAAAGGAACCGGGCATTAGCTATGTAACTAATGGCCGTTCGTTGAATATAGGAACCGGGCATTAGCTATGTAACTAATGGCCGTTCGTTGAATATAGGAACCGGGCATTAGCTATGTAACTCATGGCCGTTCGTTGAATAAAGGAACCGGGCATTAGCTATGTAACTAATGGCCGTTCGTTGAATATAGGAACCGGGCATTAGCTATGTAACTAATGGCCGTTCGTTAAATATAGGAACCGGGCATTAGCTATGTAACTCATGGCCGTTCGTTGAATAAAGGAACCGGGCATTAGCTATGTAACTAATGGCCGTTCGTTGAATATAGGAACCGGGCGGTTAGACCGAGGATGACCAGACGAAAGCAATAGCGGCACCCACCGCTGTGCATGGTGCGCAGCGTGGCGAACAGCACCACGAAGAAGGTGGTGGAGTATTTGCCGGCGTTGACCAGATGGGGGAACGCCTCCCTGCTGTCCCTGTATCGGCGCAGGCACTGCCAGAATCGGGTCCAGGCGGGCACGATGTTGACCAGGGCGCGGGTGATTATGAACCACTTGTTGGACTCGAACGAGTCTGGAACGAGTCTGGAACGCGATGTCGCGGTCAACTGAGCCGTTCGGTGAGCAACTCGATATAACGGAGTTGTGAAACGTGATGAGAATAATGTTTATCACCGACTTCAAAAGGAGGACGTTCTCAATTCGACTGTATTTTTTTTATGTTTGTCACCTCAGAACTTTTGACTGGTTGAAGCGATTTTGATGTTGCTCTGTATTCTTTTTACGATTGATTTTGAGGAGTTTAACCAAATATCTCCGGAGCTAAAGATCCAATACCAATGAAATTGATACGGGACCACATGGGAAGCACCAGCTTTCAATTAAAAAAATAATTATCAATTTATTTAATTTGTATTTATTCCAGAAGGAGTCTTAAATTGTGAAGGCATCAAAGAAGAAATAGCTCACCGTTGACGTTAAACCAATCGCCGCCCATGACGTAAAACGCGACCAAATAGTGGAAATCAAGGAAGGCGGACGCGAACGAGTTCCATTGATCCGCCAGCCAGAAATCCGCGAACAGCACGGGCACGAATGGAGCCGCTAAGATACGACCCTGAGAAACAGAATACATTATTTAAACAGCCTTTATACAGCGTACAAGTTGCACTTCTTTTGCAGAGTTCGGAGAAATATGTGATAGTAAAACTTTTACTTTACTATGAGCGCTGACACTGACTCTGACATGATGAAGTTGGTTGGAGAGCGATCAACTGCACAGTATCGCCATCGCGATCGATAAATAAACTTTTAAAATTGCCTAAAATTGAACACTTGATTTTACTCGAATATTTTACATGTTATTTGAAACATAACTTTAATTTTAGGCATATATTAAATGAAACTAGTTTACGGATTTTACGGATTTTATCAAGCTTTAATTTTGATTTGCTCCATTTGCGTGGATCTGAATAATAATAAATAACAAAATAATTGACGGTAGCCGACTCAGTCCGTCCCGTGACCATGGACGCTGGAAAGGTTTCAAAACGTCGGAAATCAAAAAATAAAATTAAAACGCCATAAAATCCGTAAACTAGTTTCACTTAATATTTGCTTAAAATTTCAAGTTATTTTTCTTTTGTTACGCTAAAGAAGTATAACTTCTTACGTGCGTACCTAAAAGTACACACAGTCTCTTCTTTTTTTATGTAAGAAGATGGCATGCGAGCTGGCGATTCACCTGATGTTAAGTGATAACCGCCGCCTATTGATATTTACAACACATGTAGGGTTGCAGATGCGTTGCCACCGTTTAATGAAGTGGGCCCCGGCTACCTCACTCATCAGACGAAACGCGGAAGTATAACACTTCCACTTCACACTGGTCTGCAACAGCCACCTGTTGCGTGGCCCTACGACAGTTTAATGATCATTTATTTATTTATCATAAATAATACCATTACTATATTACAAATATCTATTAGTTTGTAATCTTAATCCCAAAATGAAATACGCGTCTGTATAAAATAAAGTATATGTCAATAGGCGGCGGTTATCACTTAACATCAGGTGTACCGCCAGCTCGTTTGACACCTTCTCACATAAACAAAGACTATCACAGGGATCGTACAGCGGGCGACTTACGCATATCCTCAGAACCAGAAGCGCGCCTCGTGCCTGAACACCTTCAGCGGGTTGACGAGGAACACGACCATTATGACCACCAGCGCGAGCGGGTTCACGAAGGGCGGTATGCTCAGGCTGGCGCTGTATATGAAGCTGAGTATGCTCAGCGCCCAGACGACGCCGAATATCGCGGCCAGCTCCATCAGGTGCTGCTCCGACAAGTGGTTCCTGGGGTCCAGCTCGAAGATCAGCACGTGGTTCACGCCCGACGAGCGCCAGCCGTACACGTTTATGCCTATCAGGAATATGAACTCGACCAGCAGGAACGGGCCCCGGTACAGCCGGAACGCCGTCTTGAAGTTCTCCGTCGCCCCCTCGTGGAACAGCGCTGGAATGTTAACGCATGCTCTAGTCGCCCGCGAAGCATGCTGATGATGATAAAAGCATGCTTGGTGGGCATTCTTTTTACTTTGGACTCGCGGCTCGTCACAGCTTCGCACGGGTGGACGTTTGTTTTTTACACCTTGGGTTTCATTATTTAAATTTTAATTGGAATCTCTATTCATTCTCTAGGCATTCTCAATAAAAGATTTTTATCACTGCTCGATTGACTGTATGAGTAACTTTACTCGTAGGGTATTAACAAGCCCACAGGATCTATAACCCGTATGCACGATCCGTATACAATAAAGCTTTACAGGAAAGCGAAAACGTAATGTAACCATAAAAATGACAAACAGAAATAAAATAATGAATTATCTCATAACATTGGGTGCTGTCTTCATATATGTTGCGTGCATATATTGCGTGGCCCTACCACAGTTGAGGTTGTCAGCGCATCTGCTACGTCATATTTGTTATTTACCGCACAAGGGCGGTGGTCATCACTTTATTATCAGGAATCTGGCTGGCCATATGGCTCGGAGAACGGAGAAAGGTTCTCGAGTGGCAGCCTCCTACTGGCCATCGCAGTGTAGGACGAGCAGAATGGAGTGACGACCTGTGCAAGTGTGCGGGAAGTCGATGGATGCAGGCCGATCGCGTTTTGGCCTGCGGGGGATGCCTATTTCCAGCAGTGGACTAAAACAGGCTGAAGTAATGATGATGAACCGCCTGCTCACTTCTCTGCTTTTTTTCAAAAGACGTTTCATAGTTTAATATAAAACGATAACAACACGTCGAACATTACATGACAGGATGAAATATAAAAACAAACAGACCGTTTGAAAATATCTTGCTTGTTTCGTATCATGTGCTCTATAGAAAACAAATAAAAAGGCGACAATAAAAAAAAATCTTATAATAAATTACAGCCATTCATCAAATTCATTGCTATCTTGACAGGTGCATTGATTGTACAAGTGACTTGTTGTATTCCTTTTCGGATTGAAATAAACATTACATAGCAATCTATCAATGGACTGTCTTGAATGAAGGTCACATTATTTCAATTCAACACTACTTTACATAGCATAAAACTAACGCCCGGTTTCTGAAACATGAGAACATCGTAGAAGTTAACTAATCAGCTGAAAGTCTCTGAATTGATCAGAATGACCTTCCTAATGATCAGAATGATCAATCTAAAGAGTTTAACCATACTTTTCGCAACTCAAATGACATTTGAAAAGCCATTTGACAGCTGATTAGTTAACTTCCACGATGATCAGTGTTTCGGAAACCGGGCGTAAGTCGCTCCCGACGTTAGTACGCTTAGATCTTTCAAACTACGCAATTTCTATTTTAATACGGTTTTCAGCCATGGATAGTGATTCAAGCGGAAGGTTTATATGTATCTAAATATCACTAGTTGATCCCGCAAACGTTCTTTTGTGGAATTTCGTTCGACGAAAAATCGATCTAGCTAGGTTTCATTTTTAGAAAATGTCATTTTATCCCTGTTTTCAGGGAATGACAAATATAATTCGAATATGACGGTAAATTTCGCCACAAGAGAAAATGTCATAATAGCTCGGTCGGTAATCGGGCGGCCCCAAAACAGACGGCCTTGGTTCGCGTCACGATCATTTACACATTTATTTTTTTACTTTTTTTCGATTCCAGATCATTGCTTTCTTTATTTTAAATTTTTTGTCGATTTGTTCATTTGTTATTTTTTTCCCTTTTTTTTAAAGTTCTTTCTTTTGTGAAAAACATCAGTTCATATTTTCTTATTATTACGTCGGTAAGATCGAAAAATATTATGCATATTTCATTACTCAGTAATTTGTATCTAAATGTAATTTCCAAAACACACGATTTACCAAAAAAAAACAAACCGAGCAAAGCTCGGGGTCCTCCGGGTACTTCTATATATATATATATATATATTGCCAAGCCTTTTATAAACCCGCTTTCCTGTCTGTTTGTCGATTCTGTGTACAGTTTTTTATCGATCTCAAACCGAAATCCTGATGACTTCCAGACTGGAAATCCAAACTAATATTATAAATACGAAAGTGTGTTTATTTGTCCTTGTTTCATGTCGACATAGCGATGTTATGCTATGATTTCTGTGTTAGGACGCTGGCGAGTGACATAGTCTTTTTTTATGCAGGATGCACCGGGCATGTATCTTGTACAATAAACAACTCATTGTCAATTCTCTTTTACAACCGCGGGTAAGAGCTAGTTTGAAATATAGAACAGAACTCAACAACAATGAAATAGTTGCCACAGAATCTATGATCTGTGGTAGAAGCACTATGCAGCTTAACACCGGCCTACATAAAGATTTCAACGCATCTGCAACACCACGGGACGTTCATTCTCGATAAAAGATAATAATCACGGCCCGATTGACTTCTATTATAAAAAAAAAAAAACGTAAATACTATACAAATTAAAAGCTGTTCTAAATTTGAAAATAAGCTTTTAATTTAATTGACGTACACTATAACACTGGTGCAACTATATTAGATACATTTAAAAACAGTACGTTCTTAAATTGAAAGGGTAGTTATTGGAACAAAACACAATTAAGACACTTTATGATAGGATTTTCTCATAGAGATGTGTAATACAATGGTTCTCGTTTAGGTGCATCCTGATTAAATTTGCTCTGGAATTAGTTACGGCCGTGGCCGATATAACTTGCTGGGCAGGTAAACGGGCAAATTTACAATGTTTAGCGTTTAAACATAAACAATTTATGGGATGCTATTATCACACAAAGTCGGTCAATATTTGGTTCCATCCACGTTCGCCAACGCCGTCGTAAAACACCAATATTTGTAACCGCGTAAGCGATAATTACGATAAACTCGATTTATGTCATGGTATTAAGCAAAAGGATTAAGAGTAAAGTTTACTGAAGAGACATTTTATATGAGACCGGGTTTCCTTTAATAGGTAAAAGTTTTAGCCAACTACAGCGCAGACTCTACTCAAATTTATAAACTTTAATAAGAAAATTTTAATAACTTTGCAAAACAAAATTTTACTGATAACCATCATCCTATCCCATCTATGTAGGTTGGGCCACAAAATGTGAACCATGCTGTTAGTTAAAATTTGTAGAAAAGTACGAAAAGATTGTCGCCGCTGTGGGAAACGAATCCACGTCTTCGGCATTCGCGGCCTGACGCTTTAGCCACTAAGCTGATCGGCTGATCGCCACACCGACATAAATCTAAGCGGACTTCATATATCTTCGAAATATATTTTTTCTTTTTTTGTTATTATTTCGAAAATATGCAGGTTTCGTCACCGCGTTCGCGTCGTTTTCCTTCAACGCGAAGCACGTTATAAGTCAGCACTTATAATTAAAAACTTCATTGGTGCCGGCACCGGGGATCGAACTCAGGGTGCTCGCGTATATTAAATTAAAGGTGAGCGCCCGGACACTGAGCTATCACGGCTCTAATATCCTTACTAATATTATAAAGGCGAAAGTTTGTATGTATGGATGGATATTTGTTACTCATTCACGCAAATACTACTGAATGGTTTTTAATGAAACTACAATAATATAGCTTATACATCAGAATAAGACATAAGCTAACATTTATTACATATTTTTATGTATATCTATCTTTCTCTCTGAATGTTACGCCTTCAACCTATTCTACGCAGACGTAGTCGCGGACAGCAGCTAGTCCGATATAAAACAAGCAACCGATTTCTAAGCAATTTATATATTTTAATTTAGAGTATAAAATTTACTACTATGTAAACGCATTTATTGTTTTGAGTAGTTTAATTTGACTTGGCGATAATTTAGTGGCTAGTGTTTACTTCCGGTTTTTTTAGGTTTATGAGTGTACTTAATTCTTTTTTCCCGTATTATGCATAAGAACAAATAATTCAGAAATATATGTATGTATATACATTAAAATGTCTGGAAAATTATATTAATTTGACACAATTGCATTGACATTTCGACGTGTGAAAGACATGTCGACATGCGATACCTACACGCTAAGTCGATTACAAACATTCACTCGTAATATTTCCCGGCTGACATGTTGCTACAAGCGTATATGTGTTTACATAACAATACCAGATCGAAGAACGATCGCGGAAGCCGAAAATTCGAGAACAATTCGTTTAGCACCGCAATAAAGGAGCGGAGCATTCCAGAACATTCTAGAACTGAGGCAGGGGAACGGTGTTCACTGTTGCACGTATGGGCAGGTCCGTCCAGGTAAGTAACACGACCCCACAGAAGACCGGCGTGAAATGGATGTGTCACACGTCTGCGTTTCGTTTCATGAGTGAAGTAGGTAGGTAACCGTTGCACACTTTATTTAAAAGGTGGCAACGGATTTGCAACCATTCGGGTGTTGCAAACGCGGGTGGCGTTTAGCACTCAACATCAGGCGAACCGCCATCTCACTTGCCATCTTCTTACATAAGAAGAAAAGGATTTCGCCCTTGTTATCCTTATTACATGTTGTTTCCTTACTAATGTTATAAAGGCGAAAGTTTGTATGTATGGATGGATGTTTGTTACTCTTTCACGCAAATACTACTGAATGGATTTTAATGCAACTTTACGATAATATAGCTTGTACATCAGAATAAGACGTAGGCTATAATTTATATACATATTTTATTTAAATCTGTCTTTCTGTCTTAATGTTACACCTTGAGCCTATTCTACGCAGACGTAGTCGCGGGCAGCAGCTAGTTTTACAATATTACTAACATTAGGATGCATTTATTGGGACAACTTTCAGAAACCCATCAGTGAAGCTTGCTACGAGATTGGATCGTGTAAATATTACATTAGCAATACTTTCCATATTACACTAACAACGTTCTCAGCGGTTCCGCTACCATTATAACCGAAGGTGGCAACGCATCTGCAACGGGTGTTGCAAACGGCGGCGTTTACCACTCAACATCAGGCGAAGCGGCAGCTCGCTTGTCGCCTTCGTAAAAAAAAAAACAAAAAAAAAACTCACCCGACAGTACCACCGTGATGAAGAGTACTATGAACGAGCCGGAGAACAGGCCCACTTTGAACGTGGTCCAGGGGCTCTGCTGCTCCCCGAGGGGGGGCACCCTGAGCTTCTTCATGGCCTTCTGCCTGTCGCCCCCCTCCAGCTCGTTGGTGACGGTCGCCTCCGTGTCCCCAATCAGCCGGTCTATGTCCTTGTTCGTGTAGAAGTGCGACGACTCCACCTGCGCCGCCCTCCATTGCGCCCCATTGCTAACGTTTAACAACTATTGACAATAAATTGTACCTCACGTGAGTCACGAAGGCCGTCACGGCTGCCAATCGCGGTTGCAACACATCCCTTGGATAGGGCGCAAATAATAGTGGATTATCGTTGTTGGGATAAGGGAAACTGTCGTGTCAGCTTTGGAACCGAATGTTCGCCCTTGACATCTTAAATGTAACGCAATCTCACGATTTCGAAAATCAATCCTTGATTCAAGTATACAATGAAAAGGAAAAAGTCTGTGTACGGAAATGAAATGATAGTCTATTGAAAATTCAAAAGGAATTTCTCATAATGTTATTTATTAAGTTACAACAATAGAGTAGACACTACCTGAAGTTAAAAAAATAAAAACAAAAGATTGTTGTCACCCCAATTATAGGTGTAAACAACGTACAATATAATCGACATAATTGCAGATTACATTGATTTGAACAGCTATTGTTAGAAATGAGAGATTAGGTTTGAACGTTAAGAAGTAATCGCGTAAATACAAGAAATTATTATGTAAACACAACAAAAAAATGTTAACAAGCGATTGTAATCAAATTAAGCTTTTATCGAAATACTGTCTATCGATATAACGGAAGAAATTTGTCAAAGACCTGTCCAATCAAACAAAAAAACTAAATCGTTATCATGGCTACTTATTGAATTCGACAACCTGCAGCCCTATTAATTTAGGTTATTTTTTTATAGATAGTTGATAGTTTAGGGATTAGTATTTTTTGCCTATTTAGTATTTCATTTTAAATTAATATAATTATTTTATATAAATATCAAAAAGCAATTGTAAACAACAAATAAGTACAACTTCGCCACCAAACTGTAAACGCCAACTCAGGTCGGTGAACTTAATTGTATTATTAAACAAGCATTTCCAGATTTTGTTAAAAATAATTAAAGAAAAAATTAAGTGCATACGCATTCCGCATCCATTCAATCTTTCTTTATTTCATTTTACAGCGCTCAGTCAGTAATTTCTACCGCTATAGTATCTTTAAACGATTGCATTTACCTTGTTAGGGTTCCGTACCCAAAAGGTAAAACGGGACCCTATTACTAAGACTCCGCTGTCTGTCCACCTGTGCGCGAGTTCAACTAGCGCTTGGGCGGTTTTTAAATACTAAAAAAAATACAGTGCCCTCGCTTTCCTCATCCACTCAATCCTTCTATACTTCCTTTCACAACGCACACTCGATAACGACGATCGCAAGATGCCGCCCTCGTGTACTCACCTTGTCGTGTTTCTTCAGTATCTTCCTGAAGCCGGTATAATTCAGGTTCTGGTAGTTCTGCAGCAGAATGAGGCTGAGGTAGAACTCGCTGAAGGCCAGCTTCAGCTCTTGGACCTTGCGGCGCGGCATCGACTTCTTGCTGTCGCCGCCGCCCCTGGGCTTCATCATGTCGAACTGGGACTTCAGCTCGCTCTGTAGGGTCGCGAACTTTCTGGTCGCCTCCGCCAGTTTCTCTGAATCGAACGTCATTGCACAGGATGTTGTACCCGCGTGTTTTTTTTTCTAACGACTTAAAAAAGGAGGCTCTCAATACGGTTGTGTTTAACTTTTTTTATGTTACCGATTTTAAGAAAAATTTTTTTTTCATGCAGGACGAATCGATCATGTTTTTTTTTAATGTGAAAAGTTGCCAAGCGAGCAGGCGGTTCACCTGATGTTAAGCGAATACCGCCGCCCATGGACACCTACATCTGCTACACCTGAGGGTTGCAGATGCGTTAGCCAACCTCATGTTGAGTAATAAACGCCATCCATAGACATTTACAACACAAGTCGAGTTGCAAACAACTTCACGCCGGTCGTATATGAGATCGCGGTACTTCCCTGGACGGACCTGCCCATTCATGCAACAGCGAAGATTGTTGCGTGGCCCTACGACAGTAACACTGTTGTTGCACTGGGTTTGTTTTAGATCCCATGTGGTCACATATTAATTTCATTGCTATTCAACTCCTCAAAATCAAATAGACAATATTTGAAGTTGTTTTATTCCTTGTCATTAACAAGGAATAAAACCAAATTTTTAAAAACAAAATGTACTTGGTTTTACAAGACTATATGAATAAAGTAAAGTGCAGCTTTTATTGAGCTGCAGGGTTCTTCCTAACCACATACAGTCCTCCTTTTTTACAGAGGTCATTGACACCAACATGTCGCCATGCAACTCCATTGCGACTACACGCCATCGCGATATATTTTTTTATCTATTAAGGGAATAATTTTATAATAAAAGGAAGATAATGGAGGTGTAAATAATATGATGTCATGGGGAAATTCGAAGGCAGTTACATATTTTCATTAATATGTGTATTCAATATCTACAATTTGAAGATTTCAACTATTACATCATAAAATTTTTAAGCTTTTGCTTTGGAAGACATGCTATCTTATATGTAGTCAAATGTTTTGTAACACATGATGGTGTTGGGATGATTATTGGGATTGTAAATTTAAACTAATCTGTGTTTATAATAACATTATTAGAGAAGAGAACATTTACAGAAATCTTATTACAGCTTATTATCTTGTTGTATTTAAGTAATTTTAATTGCCATGAGTCAATTAAAATGTAAATACAATAATAACTTCCCTCTTATTCTTCATTTACTATCGAAGTAGAAATGAGCAAAGAGGAAGTAATAATGATTATTATATACCATAATTACTATTATGTGCATACCTGAGTAGAAAGTGTTGATTTTTTTTAGCTCTAGATCACAATAATGGAAGAATGTCTCGTCGAAATTTGCAAAGTGCCTGGAAAGAACTTCTGGCTCCACATTCTCTGCTGATGGTGCCTCCTCCACCGCAGTGTATAACATAGCTTTCATCTCCTACAAGATGGTGTCTTGATTTAATTTTTTTTTATGCATTGAATCTTATCACATGTTGCTACAGCATAACTTAGCAGATGGTACATAGAAGGCAAAGCAATGAATAGGGTTGCCTCTTTCAAGGTTTTACCAAACAATGTTCTATAAAATCCTTGCAAACATTTCCCCATCTTAAAAGGTGAATAAAGCCAATCTCTGTTAACATTAAAAACTTTAGGTATTTCAGGAACAGCCTAAGGACCATTGCAAACAGGTTTCATCCATAAAATAACATTAATTCAATATTGTATCCAAAGTTTCTATAAAGTTTTACAGCGGAGAAAATATAAATAACATGAAAACTGATAACACAATGTTATCAAGTCATTTTATATGACTCATGAGGGTGTTCCTCTTTTGACTTAATAAACTAATTAAGCATAATTATTGGTGATCATCAAGAACAATTTCTTGATTTGGTATAAATTTTAAATAAAACTATTTAGGAACTTTTTATCAAACTTCATTTGCTTCTTAAAACTAGGCATTTGAATTGCTTCATAGCATTGCACCATGGTTTAACTATGAAAAAGAAAATAAAACAACTTGATTGTGATAAAATGTACCATGTAATGTAGTTATATGTACATTCTAAATTCAAGGTCCCTACTGTTTCATGCCTCATGGAAATATTAGTATGTTTTTATTGTGCATGAAATATATTAAAATAGGAAAATGTTTTCAGAACAACACAGAATAAACAAATTTCATAGAATAAGCATATCTATCTCAAGCTAAACAATCCATTGTTTTCTCAACCTCCTATTGTTATTTTATAGTTAATTGCATACATATTAACACAGCAACTGACTTAACACTAATTATCATCCACTTCTGTTGCAGTAGATTCATGGCACTTATGATTAAGTATATAATATATATGTTCATTTAATATTAATATTGTTTTATTTCAAATAATAACAGAATAATATATACTAATATTAATGTTACCAAAAATTAAATGTTTACATTCTTAAGAATGATTATAATAAAAGAATAACATATTTAAATATTAATCGATCGAAAAATTAATAAAGTAAAATATATGAATATAATTTAAATGAAATCTGACAAGTCTATTTTTAATTTGATTTATATAGATTAAACTTTTGTACTCACACCGTTTCTACAAGAAACGATTTAAATATAGATAAACAACAAATGTACAAATATTACATATCTATTTACCTCGTAGTTGATATATTGTTTTCTCCACTCAGGAGTTATATGAGCGCTCAAATGCTCTGCGAATTTCATTTTTTAGCTTCCCTGTGCACGTCTTAGTGATAAAAAAGACCACAAAACACTACAGTACTTCACAAGTGTTCCACAAGTTTGTTTTATGATAACTGGACGTTATGACCAAATATTTGCTAACACTAATAAGTCAAATAATTGGAATGGTTGATCTCGTTACATGTGAGTAAAATATACATGTTAGAAAAAAAGAAGTAAAATATAATTCTGAAGGTACAATGTAACTTGCTGTTCACAGCTGAATATAACCATTGATAAAAGATAATACAGGTGACAGCCAAGTCAAGATACTTTTGAACGGTCACGAAAAAGGCAACACATATTGTCCACAATTTTGATATTTATTTTATTTCATGACTTTATTGAGAAATCATAAGTCTATCCTTTGTTATGTATATAATATATTTATTTTTATGAAACTATGTAAATACAAACAAAAATAACAAAATTTTCCGAGGGGATGTATCTTTTTAAGGTTTATTAAAAATACGGGTTTTATGAAACAAATAACGGGAATCTTACTCTATGCTTCTATAAAATCATGTTGAGAGCACGGTTTTACGGTTATAAAGCTAAATAACATGTGTCATCTAGATTATTAAGTATCATTGTATGTGTCATACGAAAGAAGTGGGTAGAAAATTGGTTTTTAGGGTCCCGTACCCAAAGGGTAAAACGGGACCCTATTGCTAAGACTCCGTTGTCTGTGTGTCAGTCACCAGGCTGTATCTCATGAATATAGCCATTTGAGATTTTCACAGATTTATTTCTGTTGCCGTTATGAGAAAAAAATACTAAAAACAGAATAAAAATATATTTAAGTGCACGCATACAACAGACGATCTTTTTTTGCAGTTTTTCTAATGGTATGGAATCCTTCGTGCGAGACTACAACTTGCACTTTGCCAATTTTTCATTTTTTTCCCTTAGACTATTTTCAATAATTATACAAACATCACATACACACTGATATTCTTAATACTATAAATTTTGTACTAAAAGTACCAATCTTAAAATAAAACAACTTTTTTATTATTGATTTTTATTCCTTCTCATTTTCTTTGTCTTCCTGGTTACAATTAACAGGAAATAAAGATTGATTTATATTCTCAGGTATAACTCTCGCCACTTTCCTTGGTTCTTTAACCAGAGTCTTGGGACACTGCATTTCAGACCAGCTTATAGGCACCATACTTACACCTTGTGGTGAACCAGCAGCTGTTGCTATAACAACTCCAAGTTCATTTTCTGCTGTTGATAAATGGTACCAGTGAATCTCCGTCATTGGTAACTAATATCTGAATGAAAAAAATTATCTTTCCATGATCATAAAAAGTATTGAATGTTAGGCATAATTAATCAAAAGATATAATCAGATTTTATAAAAAATTATTATTTGAGATATGACTTCACTTTTTAAATGTAAATTAAAATAAATAAAAAGGATACAACTCTAGCTAAAATAACATCTCCAGGTCTAAAGCACTTGTATGGATCAATTCTATCTTTATCTGTAGATTTTATATCTTCCTTTTTGAGTATTCCTCTGTAAGGTCTGACTAAAACAGAGGGACCCACACAGAGTATTATGCATTGGACAAGACGAGAATTCACAACAGTCACCTTGGCTGTGACAATATCACCCGTGCTTGGCAAAATACTGGGTGTCCTTGGGCTTATTACAGATACAATTGTTGCCTGAAAGAAAATACAATATGCAATTTTCCTGTCTGCAAACATATCTTGATTATTCATTCAATGAGCTATTTGGACCATGTTAAAATGTAAGTCCAATAATGTGTAAGAACTACTTATCAAGAAACTTTTAAAGTGTTATCTCAATATACAAGAAACTTTATTTTTAATATAAATAAAAATGTAATATATTAATGTTCATTATAAATTATTATATTTCAAACACAAAACTACTAATAATTAAAATAGAATACAAGAAAAAATAACAATTTAGGGGAAGATAGGCACCATTTGTATGCGGGGCACATACATACATTAGTTAATAAACACAAATGACAGTTACAAGCAACATTACACTAGATTTATGATGTTTTTCTAATAGTTAGTAGTAAATATCCTTAAGATATGTTTTTAAAAACTAATTATCTAATTTGCATATGGATATTAAAAGAGGTTATACTTAATTATTATTTGGTCAATGGGGCACTTTCGTCGTTAAGTGTTACGAAGTCATCATTATTATATTAATGCCCTCTAAAAAGGCCAATTTCCTTTGCAAACTTTTCATTATGTTGTTTTATTATAACAAACTTTGAACAACTTTTGATAGCAATGAGACTGTATTTTATGAAGTAAGATATCTTTTTACGATTGTTTTGATTCTGAATCTACATTTTTAGTTTACCTTCGATTTTTCATCTTCCTCCATTTTTAAAATACCCGCCAATGTGGCATATATATAACCTTTTAATTCATAAGTGCCTGGTCCCGAGATAAACTCTTTGTTTGATACACTTAAACGCATTCCTGGTATACATATTTTACCTATTTCTTTTAATTTTTCAGGATTCATGTTGATGTTATAACCTATATTTTTTATTATTTTTATTATACACCATTAAATGTTTACAATATTTGGTGTGTTCACTTATGAATTTTAAATTATGTGAATTATTTGACATTAAAATAAAGTTATAAATGTATTTTGTTTATTTTAATTTATAACAAAAGTTTCAAATAAAACTTTGTTTATAAACACATGTCTGATGTCATTACAACCATAGAGTTCATACTTCAGCTTCAGTATGTCTTATCTATGGTTCTTAGTAAGGTTTGTACTATCGATAGTTTTTTGTCAAAAGGGGCCCATTCACTATCCTGCCTGGCAGTCCGCCGTGCAGGACTGCAAAGCAGGATGTTAGGCATGAGATATACCTGCAACATTCTATACCCGGCCTCAAATGTACGGGTATCGCCGTATACCCGGTGCTAAAACCCAGTATCAAAATACCTATAGGTATTAGTTATGTTCAGGCCTGCTTTTGGAGACTCGGTCGAATCAAACGAATTGAACCTTTGGTTGGAATTGGAACATTTAGATGTTTTTTATCATACGTTTCAATTTGGGCATGATCGGGAAGAGCCGCCGTAAGCGTTCGGGGAACTTCGTACCTATTCGGCCGGCGGGTTGTCGCGAGCGTTATATACCGCCACCGTCGGACGAGGCGGCTATACCTATCGGGTATGGATCGGGCCTCTGCCGTACATGCCCGGTGTGCGTACTGGTATGTTCATACTGGGTATTTATACCTGTGCCAGTATATACGCAGGATTCCCTACAGGATGTAGCCCACACACTAGGCATGAGATATACCTGCAACATTCTATACCCGGCCTCAAAGGTACGGGTATAGCCGTATACCCGGTGCTAAAACCCAGTATCAAAATACCTATAGGTATTAGTTATGTTCAGGCCTCCTTTTGGAGACGCGGTCAAATGAAACGAATTGAACCTTTGGTTGAAATTGGAACATTTAAATGTTTTTTTTAGCAATCAGTTTTTTTTAATTGAGATTTAATCAGTCTAAAATAAGCTCCATCTTTACTAACGTAAAGAACCCTATTATCAAAAAAAAAGTTATTCAATTTTTTTATTAATTAATTTAATAATGAATTAATCAATTTAATAATCAATTTAATTAATTAAATTATTTATTTAACTTATGGTCATAGAAACAAATAATAAATTTATCTCAAGGAATTATTTGGTATAAAAATGCCTAAATCATACGTTTCAATTCGGGCATGATCGGGAAGAGCCGCCGTAAGCGTTCGGGGAACTTCGTACCTATTCGGCCGGCGGGTTGTCGCGAGCGTATATACCGCCACCGTCGGACGAGGCGGCCATAGCCATACCTATCGGTGCGGGTATGGAACGGGCCTCTGCCGTCTGACATACGTCATACCCGGTGTGCGGGCGGGTTGCCGCGAGCGTATATACCGCCACCGTCGGACGAGGCGGCCATACCTATCGGGTATGGAACGGGCCTGGTATGTTCATACTGGGTATTTATACCTGTTCCATTATATACGCCTCATCCCTACCACACACTATCCTACAAGCCGTCCATCGTCTCTCAATAGTGTCAGTGTTGTTGTTGTAATAATTATGGATTTATGTGTCGTTTCGAAAAAAAAGAAAATGGCGAGTTTTTCTTGTTGTTAGATAAAAGGTTTTTATTTATAAATAACCTTTCCTCACATTATCATACTAATATACATAAAATTTAAGTAATAACATAAGCTTTTATCAAGTTAAACTATTTCAATATAAAATAGTTTTTGAGCTTAGTTTAAGGTTATCAAATCAGTCGGGCGTCCCGGGATGCACACTTTTTCTTTTTGTCTATAATAAAGTACCTAGCCCTGTATAGATTTTTTTCAAACTTGTGAATAAAATTTAATTCCTAAAAATATTTCTAAAAAAAACGTCCTAAAAAATTTCTATTGAAAATATTTACTGTGTAAATTTACAAAAAAAAAAAACACTCCTAAGTTAGCATCCATATTTTCGTATAATATAGCGTAATTTTGCTAATGGCTTAGTGCATATTTTTTTCTTCATATGCAGCACTGCCGATACGCAGGATGGCCCGGAGCTTGCAGGATGCAAGGCGCGTCCTGCTCGGTGAAGCCAGAAACTGTGCAGGCCTGCAACACCATTCACGATCCTGCATAGAGCGGCGGGCTGGACAGGCAGGATAGTGAATGGGCCCCTAAAAACTAATGGTGATTGCAATACTATCGATACCATCGATACTATCGCATGCATTATTATCGATATTATCGATAGTATTGCTGTTATCATTATTATTTACTTTACTTTATACAACTTATACAACGTCGTATGATAATGATCATAAGTCAAAAATTAATCGAAAAAGGTTACATATCGTTTGATATCGATATACAAAACTTAGCCATAATTTATTATAACAAACATTTACAAATATCGTACATATGGTACAAAATTATGATAATCTCACTTAATTAAAACTATATAGGTGATAAAATTAATACAATATAACTATAATACAAATAAATTACATAAAAAACAAAAAAATACATAAATAAATAAATAAAGCATTATGCCATACTTTTTCGCATACCTTTGCGACATCGCGAGGAGAGCACGCAAAGACAATTTAAGTGCATGTGCTCCGTAATGCATTCCATATGATGGACGCTTGAGTATCCAGCCTGGTATTTTCTGTAACTTCAAATAGTTCACAATAACTAACAAAAGTAAACAAACTCGGATATTTTTATTTTCAAGAGAAAACGTAAGCAACAAAAAGCTCGTTAAGCAGCCCGTTTCCCGTTAATAACGTTAGGATCAATACTGTTAGCTATAATCTAAAATAGCAACTTACTATATACTGCAGACAAACCAACTACCACGTATCCACACAATGTTCGAACATAAGACTAAAATATCATAGCAACGGCCAAATGCGGGTCGGACTCGCGCACGTAGTGTTCCGTCGTGTCTATGACAACGGCAAGAAACCCAAAGAAATCCCAAAGGAAAATACGAGATCCTATATTTTTATAGGATCTTGTTTTATCCTTTGGGTATGGAACCCCAAAAATATTGATTTCTTTTGTATATTTTTTGCACTTTATAGTGTTAATTTTTCATTCAATAGTTTATTTATTGCAGTTATTGCGTAACAGCAATCTATATAGTCTATACAATCTAAAAAAATATCGATATAGTCGTTTATCGATAGACTATATCGATATTTTATGTCTTTTTTAATAGTGACTGTTCACTACTATTGACGTGTCACGTCAGCCGGTTTTGACGTTTGACATGTCGACGTTGTTGCTGGCGTGAATTTTTTAAGATAGTTTATTTAAAAAAACTGAAAATACTTACAATAAATTGAAGCGATGCTTACAAAATTCGAAACCAAATCAGCGCGAGTGAAAGGCATATCATTTCATTCTAAACGACCATGGGTACTTGCAGGTTTACACAACGGTGTGATTCAGCTATGGGATTATCGGATGTGTACCTTATTGGAGAAATTCGATGAACACGACGGACCCGTGCGTGGCGTCTGTTTTCACATCCAACAGCCCTTATTTGTATCCGGAGGAGATGATTATAAGATAAAGGTTCGTAGCCTATTTTATTTCGTGGTACAGTTTTTAGTAATGAAAAATAATTTACCTGAAATGTACATGCAATGGTATTTTTATGACATGTAACTATTAAATGAAACTTTAAACTTACGGATTTTATCCCGTTTTAATTTCGGGTTATAATTCCGTGACCAGAACTCTGGAAAGGATACGAAACTTTTTGATAAAAATCGAATTTAATACGCGATAAAATTCTTTAAATAGTTTTAAAATTCGTAAATCTACTTGTTACTAAATAAATTACTTAAAATAATTTTTTGGAAGGTATGGAATTACAAACAAAGAAGATGCCTCTTTACTTTACTTGGACATCTGGATTACATACGCACCACATTCTTCCACCATGAATATCCTTGGATCTTAAGTGCTTCAGATGACCAGGTAAGTTGTGTAGATGTTTAGTTAAATATTTAAAACATATCCTGTTTTTATTCAAACAGAATTTTTATAAATGGTATTAATATTAAGTAATCATTGTCATATTATATGGTACTCCAGTAATAATTTATGATTGGGCTGTGGATACATATACTATTTCATTTTATGTATTCGAAGAAGCCTTAATGGATATGTTTATGTTTACAGACTATTAGGATATGGAACTGGCAATCTAGACAATGCATCTGTGTTCTCACTGGTCATAACCATTATGTCATGTGTGCACAATTCCATCCTACAGAGGATCTTTTAGTGTCTGCATCATTGGACCAGTCAGTTAGAGTCTGGGACTTTTCTGGCCTTAGGAATAAGAGTGTTGCACCTGGTCCAACAGGCTTAGCTGAACATTTGAGAAATCCACAAGCTACCGATCTCTTTGGACAGGTAATATCATATTGAAATAGTTTTGTGTAAATAATCACTGCAAAACATTATTTTAAACTCTTACAATACACTGTTTTTAATTTTTAGGCTGATGCAAGTGTAAAGCATGTGTTAGAAGGTCATGATCGTGGGGTGAACTGGGCTTCATTCCACCCCACTCTGCCCCTAATTGTGTCTGCTGCGGATGACCGTCAGGTTAAACTTTGGAGGATGAATGATGCTAAGGTATCTTGTATTATTGGATTCTGTATTTAAGTTAGAGTAATATGACCTTAATATTGAGAAAACTTAGAAAATGTTGATGATGATAATTATAGTTTTAAATATGCTAAGATTCCTAATTTTAATTAATTATTCTAAATAATGCTTATTTATAACTTTATAAAGTACTTTTTAAACAGGGAGATTGTACTAATTAACTAAAATTTCCTAAAATATATTTTTTATTTTAGAGATTTTAATGTGAATGTTAGTTCAATAGACAAATAGCAAAAATATTTTTTTTTGGGCAATGCCAAGATTTGGAAAATTTTGTATTTTTTTAGATATTTAGAAAATAACAGTGAATCTGTTTCATTACATATGTATTTTGTGAACCGGAAACTTTATAAGTTTTTATTAACACATTTTTTACATTTTTATTGTTAAATTAAATTTTATTTTACTATTAACTAAACAAAAATTGAAAATACAACTATTCTATCTTTTAGGCTTGGGAAGTGGACACATGTCGCGGTCACTACAACAATGTTTCATGCGTTCTATTTCACGCCAAACACGAACTCATCCTATCTAACAGTGAAGACAAGTCCATCCGGGTGTGGGATATGACCAAACGCACATGTTTGCACACATTCCGCAGAGAACATGAGAGGTGAGACACATATTGCAAATTTTTCAACACTATTACTTTTTATGTTATGGAAAGTGATGTGTGAAGCACATTTTTGATAATATTTTACAGTTAGTTATTTTAAAATTATTCTTCACTTCGTAAAAAAGTACTTAAATATTATGAATTAATAATGATAATATAAAAATTCCTTTTTTTTAAAAACAGGTATTGGGTGTTGGCAGCACATCCAAGTTTGAATTTATTTGCAGCCGGCCACGACGCTGGAATGATCCTGTTCAAGTTGCAACGCGAACGCCCTGCCTACGCTGTGCACAACAACATGTTGTTTTACATCAAAGACAGGTAATGGTTTAATTTTAAAAATGTTGGCTGTACTTTTGTTAGTTGTGTTAGTTGCCTTGGTTTTGGGGACTGACACCCAGAGAAATATTGGGCATAGCTCTATATCTCGCTGAGCGATTCTGAGCTTCCTCGCATAGAATTGACAATCTGAAGAACCTTTGACCATCTTTATAGCTTGTATAACCAGGTGAAGAAAGGTGGTCGAGTGGCAATTTCGTATTTGCCATCACATGTAATGGGATGAATGCAGGTGGCTCAGGATAATGCTCCGTGGCATTATGTTGGAAAGGTCTATGTCCGGCAGTGAACTACAAAAGGGTTAAATGATAATGATAACTGTATTTTATAATTTATTATTAACTTAATAATTTCATAAACCTTACATAGCATACGACAGTCAAGCCTGATCATTATCCTATGGATAATTTTCCTAACTCTTTCTAGACAACTACGGAAGCTGGACATGCAGACGAACAGAGATTCGCCGGTGATGCAAATCAAAGGCGGCGGACGTCACCAGCCATACAGGTATGTGGTTTATAAATCGATGTTTAACTTTTACGAGTTAAGTATGAATAGGTTTAAAATTTTCCAAAAAATTGCGTCGTCGGATGTTCAAATTCAAGTGGAGAGTAAAGATGCCTAGGTTAGGTCGCGATGCCTAGGTTAATTCTGTCGACAAGCCAAGACTTGATCCGAAATTAATTCGGCTGTGGCCGATGATTAGGTGTCTTACAAGCTTTCTGTCAAGACATGGAACTTGACATACATCTTATTTCGCCTACCCTCATTCGAATATGGGGTCGGTACATTAAGTGGATCATGTTGTTAACGGTGGTGTTGGCTAGGTTTTGTACAACTGGTGGATTGCCTGACGTCAAACTTCCTTGGGAACAAACTTCCTGATCCGAACCACTATCCCATCACAAAATAATGATATAAGGAGCCATGGCCACCGGCGACGAAGACAATAGCTTAGCTGTACCATCGAGTCACAAACATGTATTAGAACGAAGAATAGGGTTTTACTGAGCTAGCGTGCTTACGATCAAAGGCTGCATCACCACTTACCATTAGGTGGGATGGCAGTCGATCGCGGGCTAGTTTTGAATTAGAAAAAAAGATAGAGTCGATTTGACCGTGGTTCTAAGTAGCGTTTTTTACTAAGGAATGCCACACGAATGGGGTAGATTGCGAAATAGTCAGTTGTCAAGTCAGCTAAAAAATTTAAGGACGAGCCTCGTTCCGTTGCAGCATGTCGCTGAACCACGCCGAGTGGTGCGTGCTGGTGAACTGGCGAGTGGGCGACAACCACTCGTACGAGCTGTACGCCGCCCCGAGGGAGTCTGGGGAGGCGCCGTCAGCAGAGCCCGCCCGTGGGCAAGCCACCACCGCCGTCTGGGTGGCGAGGAACCGCTTTGCGGCCCTGGAGAAGAACAACCAGGTGGGTGCCATCCCTACACAAAAGTATACCAATAAGTCTACCGTCAAAGACACAGGTCCCAGACCTGTGTGTCTATTCTAACCTCTGATTTCCTATTCACGACACCAAATAGACACCTAACAGCATGTATAACCGTTAGTTTAGCTTTGTAACAGTGTCATTTAAACGAAAAAAAAAAAAGGAAAGAAATTAAGTGAGTGGGCTCGCTTTTTCGCTGAAAATATCTGTACTAGAAAAACTGTAACCGGCATAGATCAGAAAATTAGTATGAAGTTGCAATTGGCTGGCTGCAGAACCGATAGGTTATCGGGGAAGAAAGGTTCTCGAGTGGCAGTGGCGGCCTTGTATTGGCCATCACAGTGAAGGAACCCTCAATAAGCTGAGTGGTGGATGCACGGTGGCTCCGGATCGCGTTTCGTGGCAGTCTATGGAGGAGGCCTATGTTAAGCAGTGGACTAGTACAGGCCGAATCGATGATGATGTTCTCTTTTACGCTTTTCAACATAACGTTTTGTTCGGCTTTTTATATTACAAGGAATTATTTAACTTCGAAATTCAACTTTAAAGTGACGAGCGTGATAATTTGAACTTTGTTTCGCAGCTGGTGATCAAGAACCTGAAGAACGAGGTGTCGAAGAAGATCGCGACGCCCACCTGCGAGGAGATCATGTACGCTGGCACCGGGATGCTGCTACTCAGGGAGCCGGATTGCGTCCAACTCCTGGACGTCCAGCAGAAGCGCACTGTGGCCTGTGTACGTTCACTGATTCCAATCGCACGTTCTCTTATTATCTCATTCGTCTTCTTCCGTTCAGTCATTCGTTCATTCATTCATTCAGCCGCTAGTTTATACGCCGATTCTTCATTCTTTAAATGTAACTTTTTATGTACTTAATTTCTCTTTAACATTGTGTTTTTGATAAATACCTTAACTACGTAAATTATATATATAAATAAATATATATAATTTACGTAGTTAATATGTTATAAATAAGAACGTGCCATATATTAAATAATTGGCCATGGAATCTGACTTAATTTGACCACGGGCAAGGATGTGTGGGTGCAAGTTATCAGTCCCTCCTTTCTTAATTTGGAACTTTAATTGCATCGACGTGTTGGGAAGAGCAGGGAAACCCCTTAGATACGTCTACTCCCAAGTCATGCTTGCCCATCCGCCATAGATATACAACAAAGAAATTCAGAGCCTTATTTAAGCTAGCATTTTACATGTTAAAATTGATTTAATAAGTTGTATACAAACAGAATGAGTCAATTTATTTATCTGATATTGCGGTGCTCATTCATCCGTAGAAACTCAAGAGCACAATAATTCCACTTCACGCCGATCCATATCACCGCAGTTCCTCGGACTAGCCAGCCCAAAATAATCAAAAATCAACTCATCAACTTAAGAAACATAAATTTCATCCAACGTCAATAGTAATTTTTTTTAAAGTCTATCACTGTTTCGTATTGAGCTTCTCCGCTTCCTCTAACGGAGGAGAAACGGAAAGAAACTCCACGCCTAAGTGTTCGTGTTCCCACCGCATTAAGCTGACGAGGAACGTTCCCCTCATCCAGGTGAAGGTGGGCAAGTGCCGCTACGCGATCTGGAACAGCGACATGTCCCTCGTGGCGCTACTGGGCAAGCACACGGTGACGCTGTGCACCCGCCGCCTGGAGCAGCTCTGCTCCATCACCGAGGGCGCCAGGGTCAAGTCCGGGGCCTTCGACGACTCCACGCCGCAGCCGGTCTTCATCTACACGACGGCCAACCACATCAAGTACTGCTGCAAGGACGGGTGGGTTGATGACAGTCTTAGTTTCATTTAACCGACTTCAAAAGGAGGACGCTCTCAATTCGACTGTATTTTTTTTTATGTTTGTCACCTCAGTTAACTTTTGACCGATTGCACAGATTTTGATGATGACGATTTCTTTTATTATTTGAAAGCCGGTGTTTCCCATGTGGTCCCATATAGTACGAGATCCGGCTGCAGAATTACTACACTCATCGAGTAATTGTACAATTGATCACTCAATTACTATCTAATAATAAATCGATCGTCTTAATACGGGGTATATGTAGATGTCTTTGCCCAGCATTGGAACATTTATATTAAGGTTTATTACTTTACTCCATTGAGAGGCTGTGGCTTTAATCCAATTTACTTTTCCTCACAGTGACTACGGCATCATCCGAACCCTGGACGTGCCGGTCTACGTGGTGAAGGTGGTGGCGAGCGAGACAGGTGCTCGCGTGGTCTGCCTGGACAGAGAGTGCCGGCCCAAGGTGCTAAGCATCGACCCAACTGAGTACAGGTGAGTAAGGATTCCCAAGGTCCGATGATTCTAGTCTTAATAATTTCTTGTATTTACGCGATTACACATTATAAATGAAACTAATTTTTACGTCTGTCCCGTCACCATGAACGCTGTAAAGGGTTCGAAACGTCGGGAATTAAAATTAAAAATAAACGCGATAAATCCGTAAAAATTAGATTCTAGTCTTTTTTAGAAACTTTGAAGACATATGGTACAGGAGAGTCAAGATTACCGAGCTTCAGCAGATTTAGAGATTTGGTACCCCATACCTGGCCAGAGTTTAAAGACTTTCAGTAAAGATGTGTTCACACTGTTCAGGAGATTGTCAAATCAAGGCCGTGAAGGCATTCACTCTCAAAATCTAAATGGCACAGTTCTTCTCAATCTGTTTTCCAAAAGATATTTATCAAAACTCTAAAATAAAGTCGCCTGGACTCAGCAGCTCTGAAAAAAGATGCATTTAATAAATAATTTTTTTTAGGTTTAAAGAATTTATTCTCATAAAAATACAAAGTTTATGTAAAATGGGATACAAGTTACAACATACAATACATAATTCATTTTAACCACTGGAGCATTGTGGAAGACAAAAGCAGTAATATTACTTTCAGGGTAGATGAAAGTATAAAACATCAATATGCGAGTTGCGTTGAGGGTAAAGAAAGAAGCAGGTTTATTATTACAATTTCTAACGTTTTCCGTTGAAAGGGAAATTTCAACGGACTGTTTGCAATTTTCTGCCCAGGTTTAAACTGGCGCTGGTGAGCCGGCAGTACGATCAGGTGCTGCACATGGTGCGAACCGCCAAGCTCGTCGGCCAGAGCATCATCGCCTACCTGCAGGAGAAAGGTACCTTGGAAGGGAACTTTACAATGGTTTCATATATCTAACCTTAAATATCAGGTTCACTACAATAGTAATATTTAGTGCACACTGGGTATTAACATTATTCAAATATTAAAAGCCTTATATGAGTATCGGGAGTATGCGCAGTTTGCAGTTGCACGAATAGGTAGGTCCGGGTAAGTAGGACGATCTCACAGAAGACCGGCGTGAAGTAAAGTGTTATACTTCTGCGTTTTGTCTGGTGAGTGAGGTAGACGGGGCCAACGTTTATTAAGGTGAAATTTATGTATGTAAAGCAACCTTGCAGGATGTTTTACATAAATTTCACATGGAACATCCTGCTGGCGTCCGCCTTTTCGTCCGATTACAACGTAGGCGTCTTTAAGGCGAGAATGAATAATATTATAATAATAATAAGTTTTTACTGAGCTAGCACGCTTATCATCAATGGATGGCAGTCAAATGCTGGTCAGTTTTTATGGGAAACAATTATCGTTACGCGACTCCAATAATCGTCCTGTGTGGGCGTCATCATCTCTAATGGGTGTGATTGCATTCTTCAAACAGGCTACCCCGAAGTCGCTTTGCATTTCGTGAAGGAACCGCGCACCAGGTTGTCGCTGGCGTTGCAGTGCGGGAACATTGAGGTGGCCTTGGAAGCGGCCAAGAGCCTGGACGAGCCAGACGCCTGGGACGAGCTGGCCAAAGCCGCCTTGGACACGGGGAATCACCAGGTGAGTCACCAGCTAAGGGTTATCGGTTATGGTAGCTGATTATGTTTTAAATGAAGTAAACCGCTTTACAGATTTTATTAAAATCAATTTTATGTTAAACACATTCTGCTATTTTACACAGAAATCCTGTCTGAATAGATAAATAGTTTGCTGAAAAAATAAATTGTGTTTAAGATTAAATTTTATATCCCGCTTGATGATCTTTTAAAAATTTATTTTATGTAATTTTATTATTTAATATATAACCACCAGATCGTGGAGATGTGTTACCAGCGCACGAAGAACTTCGACAAGCTGTCCTTCCTCTACCTGATCACCGGCAACCTGGAGAAGTTGAGGAAGATGATGAAGATTGCAGAGATCAGGAAGGACGTGTCCTCTCAGTTCCAGGGGGCGCTGTTGCTCGGTGACGTCAGAGAGAGGATACGACTCCTGAAGAATGCTGGACAGGTTCTTTTCACGACTGCTACCGTTTTTGAGAGATCGAGATTTTGGTTTGTGGGGACTTTGGATTTGTGGACTATTGGTTTTAAATTAAGTGGCGTGTTCCCATTATTTGGTATGTACACTTTGTTTGATAAGATGGGGTCATTAGGGTGAAAAAAATGTGGGACCTGTTATTTGTGAGTGCGTTTTATCAACACGCGCACTTTAATAATTTGAATGGGCAAACAGCTGAACAGTCTGGAGTTAACTATAATGTTTTAACTATAATAGAAATTTGGTCCTATACTGTTTGAATCCGCGGATAATGCGCGTAATACTCAATTTTTTTTGCAGTTTTTTTACATTCTCATTCACATTTTACGTTTCAACTCGTCCCTTTGATCCCGCTTAGTCAATTTAGTCTACAGATCCCCTAGTTTCTTCAATAACATCTCAAGTTGCTTCGTTTATTTTCTCCGCAGATCAACACTCCGCACTCTTCGTTACAACTAGATCCTTAGCCACTGTCCCTAGTTTTATCTCAAATTATTTCTCGTTCTTTAACTACTTTTCTTCCATTGCGTCTATAGTTTCCTGGTCTATTTAATCTACAGATTACCCCACTATATCCAACGACGTCTCAAGTTGCCTGGTCTGTCTAGTCTACAAATTACCCTCCTACCGCCAAAGGTGTCTCAAGTTACCACGTTTATTTCCCTCGCAGATCTCCTTGGCGTACTTGACGGCGGTAAACCACAAGCAGGCCGAGGAGGCGGAGCAGCTGAAGGCAACGCTGGACGCGGCCGGCCTCCCGATACCGGAGCCGAATCCCGACGCGGTGTTCCTCAGGCCGCCGCTGCCCGTGCACAGGGCCCAGCCCAACTGGCCGCTGCTGGCCGTATCAAAGTACGTGTCAAAAAGTGATATCGTGACCGTATCAAAGTACGTGTCAAAAAGTTGGATCGCGACCTTATCAAAGTACGCATCAAAGAGTTATACCGTGGCCGTATCAAAGTATGTATTAAATAGTGATATACGACCGTATGAAAGAGTGATATCGTGGTCGTATCAAAGTAAGTATCAAGGAGTGATATCGTGGCGGTATCAAAAAATTATATCGCGACTGTATCAAAGTACGTATCAAACAGCGATATCGTAGCTGTATCAAAGTACGTATCAAAAAGTTATACTGTGTGGCCGTATCAAAATACGTATGAAAGAAATTTAAACGTGCACGCTTCTTTATATATATAATTCTTCTGTACGTGTGCGTAAAAAGTGCAAAGGTCTTGCCTACTGCGTCGGGGGTCGTGGGTTCGATTCCCACACGGGATATCTATTTTCTACGGTGGTAGGGCCACGCAGCAGCCTCGGCTGTTGCACGAATGGGCAGGCCCGTCCGGGAAGTACCACGACCTCACAGAAGACCAGCGTAAAGTGGAAGTATGAGAAATACTTTCGCGTTTCGTCTGGTGAGTGAGGTAGCCGGAGCCCAATTTTCAAAAGGTTGTCAACGCATCTGTAACCCTCGGGAGTGGCAGATGTCCATGGGTGGCGGTATTCACTTAACATCAGATGAACCGTCTGCTCGTTTGACAACTTTTCGCATAAAAAAAAAAAAAAAAAGACATCTATTTGTGTTGCTCACAAATAATTGTTTCGCATCTGGGTGTTTGTCTGTGTGAAATTTGTTTGTAAAACGTCCTCACAACACAGGATAATGTTATCTTAAAGGAAGGGCTATGTAAAAAAAATCTATGTATCAGGCCGCGTTGGTGAGGTTGCTATTTGTGCCTGTTCCTCGCAGGAGCTTCTTCGAGGTGGCCGGCGGGGCGAGGGCGGGTGGGGACGCGGGCGTGGCAGCGGTGGCAGCCAGCGCCAACGACGAGCCTCTCGAGGCGGCCGGGGCGTGGGGCGACGAGGATGACGTCCTCAACGAGAACAAGGTACGCCATTAAGCTGGTCCCGTCTGGAAAGCCTCGCAATTGATTCACAATTGATCATCGTTAATGTTCGTAGTTTGGCAACGGTACATCCCATCATTGTCCTTTTATGCGTCTTATGTACATTATACACGCGTGCTTTTAGTAAGCAAGCCTCCATCTAAACAATCAAAAACCGGTTATAGATATCGCATATTCAATAATTAATTTAAATCATTAATTAGTGATTACTGTTTTTTTAAAATGTTTCATACTATTTATTATACGCTGTGTTATCTGTACCATTTGTTTAGAATTGAATAATCCATTCCAAACCAGCCTACAGAGTTTATACTCGCTATAGTATCTCCATAAACCGCAAAAAGGAGACTTATCGCCAAAAGACAATTTCTACATGGTCCTTCGAGCCGGATATGAACCAGCGACCTTTGGATATAAAGTACACGGTACAGTGATTTGTAAATCAACATACATACCAGAGTTGATAAAGAATACACGCGTTGTTTCACTCTTAATAATATTATTATAGACGAAAATACGTCCGCATCGTTCTTTGTGTTGACGATGCCTCGATTAATGAGAATAGGATGTAGATTGAAAGTGGTGATACTATGAAGTAGGCAGAGATCGTACTTCGTTTCGAAACCCAGTCCAGCGTTCATGGTCACCAGACACACTGAACCATGAACGCTGGGAAGGCTTCGAAAGGTCGCGAATTTAAAAATCTATTTGAACGCGATAATACAGTAAAATAGTTTCAAAAAGTAGCAGGAGTAAGTAAAAACAAGAAATAAATATGATTGTTTAATTTCACTTGTATAGGAGGAGGGTGAGGAACCGATGGAGGACGCGTGCGATGACGGTGGATGGGACGTCGGTGACGAGGACCTGGATCTGCCCGAGGAGTTGGCACCAGTTTCCGGTGAGGACACATTATTGAATAGCTCTCACGATGTATTTCACCTTGTACGTCACGTTGGTTGATTGACCCATCATAATGTGGGGTGCCTTCGTGGTATGACCGAATAGGCTATTGCGGAGCTATCGCGTCCATCACCACCACGCGGCATTAGCATGGGCGATAACAGTTCTCATAACAACTCCACCACCATTTACTGGCCAGTTTCAACAGTGGTATAACGACCTCACAGAAGAACGGCAACTAAAACTGTTTATATTTTCGCGTTTCCGGTGATTGAGTTCCGGTAGTGTCTACTCAGATGTCACTCTCTCATTGGTTGGTGTTGCTTCCGTTGTCGTCTTTTGAAAATCCCGTTTACATCTTGCCTCCGCTTGCCTCTTTACTGTGGTTGGGCCATGCAACAGCTTCTGATGTTACACGAACGGCCTCACGGAGGATCGGCGTGAAATGGAAGTATTACACTTTCGCCTTTCGTCTGGTGAGTGAGGTAACCGTTGCTAACAAGTGTTACCACGGCACATGTAACCATGTGCCGTGGTAACATTTGTTAGCCAACACATCTACAAGCCATCGGGTGTCGTAGATGTCATTTAGCGGTATTATCTTAACATCAAGTGAAACGGTTGCTCGCTTAACAACTTAACCGCTTAACAACTCAAAGAAAAAAAAAAAACGATTTTATCACATGAAATGTGGAAGTATAACACTTCCAGTCTACGCCGGTCTTCTGTGAGGCCGTGTTACTTGTTTCTATGAGTGTTTATTCGAGCAACAGAAGTTGCTGCGTGGCAATAAAAAATGTGAATTACTCTTTCTTCTTTTCTCTTTTTTTATGTAAAACGGTGGTAAGCGAACTGGTTGCCCTGACGTTAATTGATAACCGCTGCTCATTGAACATTGTAACACCCGTAGGGTTGCAGGTGTTGCCACCTTATAAAAAAGTGGGCCCCGGCTACATCATTCACCAGACGAAAGGCAGATGTGTAACAATTTCATTTCAAGCCGCTCTTCTGTGAGGTCGTGGTACATACCCGGACGGAACTGCCCATTCGTGCAACAGCTAAGACTTGCGTGGCCCTACCACTCAACCGTGGTAGGGCCACGCAAGTCGGCCAGTACACTCGCTGTTGTGTTGTGTTTAAGCGACGAGCTTTAATGCGATCTTCCTAATTCCTTAACAGCTGACATCGACGGCGGGGACGAGGCGACCGCTTATTTCGTGGCCCCATCTCGTGGCCCCGCCGCCGCCCTCGCCCGCCTCCGCACCGCACATGACCACATCGCGGTGGGCCAGTTCGAGATCGCTTGCAGGTTTAAAAATACATTATTATTTGCCAAATTATTATATCAATTGAAATGTTTAAATAAAATATACAAGAAATCATCATATGATGAAACTACTACTCAAACATGCCAGTCCTCACTGTGGAAGAATTTGGGTTTTTGCCGCCGCAACACGAAAGGTACATACGAATATATTAAAAGGAAACAAGTGGTCAAGGAACCGTGGCAGCTCAGTATCCAGGAGTTCGCTTTAAATTCAACAATTGTACGAGCAACCTGTGTTCAAGCCCTGCTACTATTTCGAAGGTATGTGAAGTCTGCCAATCCTCAGTGGGGCGGACTAATACCCTCTGTACATCTGCCTTTGGCTAAGTTTTGGGGCATAAATGGGCTGTTACTTTTAATTTTTTACTTTCCGTGGCCATTCTAGAATAATACCAAATCATCAGATATAGATCTAGTGTCCTTTCGATTTTCCGCTATCCATTGCCGAAATCGGTGTAGCACCAGCTCATGCACACGTACCGTCGCGCCGCTTGCAGGCTGCTGAACGAGCAGGTGGGCGTGGTGAACTTCGTGCCGTACGCGGACACGTTCCTGGCGAGGTACGCGCGCGCGCGCGTCATGTTCGGCGCGCTGCCCGGCCTGCCGCCGCTGCCCGCCGCGCTGCACCGCAACTGGAAGGAGGCCAGCGGCGCCGAGTTGCTGCCCGTCGTCAGTGAGTCGCTATACCCTACCCCCCATACCCACACTCATACCCATACACGTACCCATACTCATACCCCCACACCCCATCGTCATTGGATGAATGTTGCCCGTCGTCTGTGAATCGGCTCCTCGCACCCGTCGCTACTCCTACCCCCCATAATTTTTTATGTGAGAAAGTGGCAAACGAGCTGGCAGTTCACTTCATGTTAAGTGATAACCACCGCCCATGGACATTTGCAACACTCGTAGGGTTGCAAATGCGTTGCCACCTTAAGTCTTAAGCCAAATAAAGAGGGCCCCGGCTACCTTACTCACCAGACGAAACGCAGAAGTGTAACACTTTACGCCGGTCTTCTGTGGGGTCGTGGTACTTACCCGGACGGACCTGCACATTCGTGCAACAGTGTTGCGTAGCCCTACCACCATAGTCATACCCAAACTCATAACCCCTGACTCATAACCTCCCTACCCACCAACCCCACACCCACACCCCATCGTCTTTGGATGAAAGTTGCCCGTCGACAGTGAGTCGTCTCTCGTGCTCGCCCCCCGTACTATACGCTTGCTCATACCGCCTACCCTTCCCTCCCCCCATCATCGTCCCTGGATGAATGAGCCGCTCCTCGTGTCCTACGCTACTCCCCCTGTTACATCCCAATCCCACCCCCATCTTCTCTCTCTTAAGTTCATCTTGGCACATGGCCGTAGTCAGCAAGTTGAACTCGCCCTTCTCACTACTGTACACGGTGTTATTTGACGGATGCATACAAAGTAACAAATGTCGGCAGGCGTTATAAAAGCTTAGTAATCGTACCCACGACGCGCCACCAAGCCATCATCATCATCATCATCATCATCATCATCATCATTATCACCATCCTCATTTCAGCCTGTAAGTATCTCGGGATTTCCACTTCGATCGGTTTGAAGCGGTCTGCATCCAGCAAAGTCCCGCTACTTTGGACAGATATTGATTATAATATATTCTTATCTAATACAAAACAGAGCCGTGTATGATAGCTCACTATTCGGAAAATTGTCGTGCTACATTCCATTCTGTTCTCTGCTCACAGCGATGAAACTGAACGAGCTGGTGGCGCAGCTGCAGCAGTGCTACCAACTGACGACCGCCGGCAAGTTCGCCGAGGCGATAGAGCGTCTGCAGCGGATCGCGCAGAGCGTGCCCATCCTGCAGCTCGACACCAAGCAGGAGCTGGCCGAGGCGCAGCAGCTGCTGGCCATCTGCAGGGAGTACCTGCTCGGCCTGCAGATGGAGACGGCGCGGAAGGGTGCGTTAATATACGATGAACTTGTACACGTGGTCGACAGTCGAAATAAGCTATCGCTTATCGCTGTTTGCGATCGGTCCGAAAAAGAATCTGACTAGATGCATTACTAAGATACGATAATTAAAACTTTAAAGAATAGGAGTTAAGAGGAATATAATAATTAGTCGGAACTAGTATTGCATATCGATAGTCTGCTATCGATAGTCAAACTATTGATGGTTGTGCAACACTAGTCGGGATTTATCAATCGGAGTATACCTATCAATCGAACTCTTTCCGCACGTCTTTACGTTTAAATTACCACCTTTTCTTCACAACTTAAACGCGTCAACTCTGCGTGCAGTAGTGCGACATTTTACCGAAGCAATTCATCACTACATAGTATAAAATAAAGTCGTCCCGCTGTCTGTCTGTCCTTATGTATGCTTTGATCTTTAAAACTACGCAACGGATCTTGATGCGGATTTTTTACTAGATAGAGGGATTCAAAAGGGGGGTTTATATGTATAAAACATTGCACTCGTGCGAAGCCGGGGCGGGTCGCTAGTACTGAATATAACGCGACGGAAGCGGTAACACAATGACTTCGACTAACGACTGCCTACCTCCACCTCCGCAGCGATGCCGAAGAGCACGCTCGAGGAGCAGAAGCGCACCTGCGAGATGGCCGCCTACTTCACGCACTGCAAGCTGCAGCCGGTGCACCAGATGCTGACGCTGCGCACGGCGCTCAACATGTTCTTCAAGCTGCGCAACTTCCGCACGGCCGCGTCGTTCGCGCGCCGCCTGCTCGAGCTGGGCCCGCGGCCCGAGGTGGCGCAGCAGGCGCGCAAAGTGCTCCAGGCCTGCGAGAAGACGCCCACCGACGAGCACCAGCTGCTCTACGACGAGCACAACCCGTTCAGCGTGTGCGCCGCCAGCTACCGGCCGATATACCGCGGCCGGCCCGAGGAGCGCTGCCCGCTGTGCGGCGCGAGCTTCTCGCCCGAGCACCGGGGGCGTCTGTGCCCCGTGTGCGCCGTGGCCGAAGTGGGCCGCGACGCGATCGGGCTGCGCGTCTGCCCCCTCCAGTTCCAGAGGTAGGGCGCCGTCTCGCTCGCGCGCCGCGCCGCCGGGCGGCCGCGGCGTCGTGCCGTCCCGCTCGCGCGCGCCCACCGCCCCGCGCCCCTCCCGATCGGCGCGCCCCTCCCCCTCCCGCCCGGCGCGCTCCCCCTGCTCGCCCGCGCCATGCGCCTGCCGCTCGCCCGCGTGCGGCTTCTGGTCGACGAGCAGCAACTGGGCGGCTCGTTTGTCGGCGCCCGCGTCAGGTCCTTGGAGGTTTTCGAGGGGAGACATTGATCGGGGAGGGAAAATGAGCGGCTCCCGCCATAGTGAACGGGGAGGGGGGCACGTATGACAATATCGCCGAGAACGACTTGTGTGGAACTAGTTCTGGATCACTTAGAAGAATTACCCGTCTATACTTAACACGTCGATAGCAAACTGACCAGGCGCAGCGTCGTTAAATATGCGAACGTGAATTTTTCGCCATTTCTATATTCAATACATCAGTTAAATCAAAAAATACTTCGATAACAGCACGGCAGACCACTCCTAGAGTACTTTAAATGTAATATAATATCCAGTATTAGCGTAATTATATAAATTACATGTTAAAATAGATGTGGTCACATGGACACCTGATTGAAATAATATGCATTAGACTTGGCTTAAATTTACTGTTCACGAAAAATTCGTCACCTATAAGCAAAACGGGTGATAATTGTATCATACGTGTTATCACGAGGAGCTTATTATTTTTCAATCATTTCCAAGAATGTCATACATTCTTTTATAAGAATATTGTAGAAACAAAACCCTAATCGGCTGTTACAGCTGCAATTGTAAATGTGCCTACTACGCAAAATATGACATCGACTATGTGTCTATATAGTTTAATTGTTTTACGGTAAGCCTGTGTGAGTTGATGGAAAGTATATTAATATAAAATTAAACGCATTTTAATTTTGGTATTTAAGGTTTATTTCTCAACAAAAACTACGTGGCTGTAGAAACACCGCGTTTTTCTGTTTCCCTTCTGACGCGGCGAAGTTTCCCGCATAATTTATCTTGACGCACTCCAACTCTATACATTGTTACTTTTTCTTAATAAATTAAACGTCCACTGGCTTGACCTCCTTGCTTCTGTAATAAAAAAATAATTTAATTAAGCGTTATTTTAGTCTTAACTTAAAGTTATTATACAGCGTGTCTTTGCCACCGCGACAATAAATTAATACACGTCTAACGCTACTTGCCAATAATCATAAAAAATATTAATGTTAAAAAATCCATAATTAAAAAAAACATTTTTCAAACAAACTAATAAAGTATAAAAGAAACACAATTTGTAACATCCTATACAACTACAACTGACTGATTCATACATTCAGTAACTTTTTTATTCGTTGCAACAGCGCCGCATTACAAGTCTCTCCTTCTAACAACAGTATGTTTTGTCTCTTTTAAATTCATTCAACCCATTCATATGCTTTGTGACCTTTACAAATGAACTTTACATTAAAGTTTTATACGTAAGGATGTTCTAAAATTCTTTGTTTTGGAAAATTTGATAACTCGTTAAATATTGATGTTTAAAGAATGTAAATCTTTAATACAATTTTAAAAAGTTATCCTCTATATGTGTCTTCATTTATTGTCGCGATGGTAAAGACACGCATAAATAAAAAGTATTATAATAATAAAAATAATAGATAGTAGTTTAGTAAAGTGAATATAATAAGTTACTTTATAAATATGATTTCAAATCAGTACACAAACCATGGATAATACACAATATTGTTTGAAGAGCACAAACAAATGAGAAACTAATGAATAAGACAATTAAATTTGGCTTTTTCCAACCAAATAGAATGTTCTTGCTATTTTCATGAGAAAAAAAGGATAAAAATGTTGTTTAAGCTCACAAAAGAATCATTTTAAATAGTGTAGATATTATGTATATTTTTATTAGTCATAAATTATTTTTAAGTATTTTCTTAAATGTGCCGATTGATGAATCTTACAAATAGCTGGTTGTAAAATTGGTATAATTGAAACCATAAATATTTATATGTGTATATATTATAATATATGTCTTATTATCAATTTGTTATTTATACCAATCATCATAATCATCATTTATAACACATACAATTTATTTTTAACATTATGTTTACAATATTAACAAATACTCAACAGATTACAAGTTATCTAATAAATCTAGTTAATGCGGCATGGTGCTAAAAACGATAGCTTCATTTCCTTGCTGAATAGATATAATATGTACATAACTTTTTTATTTCATTCGTGATTAACAATTTTAATTATTTATTAAAGATTACAAAAAATATAATAGCCTATATCATAGAGGTTGAACTGGAAATAATAAATCGCCATTTTGCGGTGGCCGCCATATTGGATCGAAAATGGCGGCGTTTAGGTAATCGTGCACTATCAAGAGAACCAAGTGTGCCAAATCTCAGCTCAGTCGGATATTGGGAGGTGAAATAAATGAAAACGTAAAAATGATCATTAAGGATTACCCGGTTCTTGTCTCGCTTAAAATTCTTACCCGACTGCGCCAGAAGGAGGATTATGTTTTTCGAGAATATGTATGTATGTATAGTTGTTTGGTACGCTCTGCAACCTGAACGGCATGACGGATTTTAGCTTGAGAGGTGTCGTTACATTAAAACATGTAGAAAAGAGTGCAGAGATTAGCACTATAAAAAAAACTTTAAAAAGGTGTCGTTACATTCTTATTTACTGTGACACTGACACTGGGTGTATAAAAATAAAAAAAATACACAGAAACGCAGTCGGATTTTTTTAGTTTTTTAAATTATATTCTACTTGTCATTTTTACGTTTTTATAAGCTAGTAAGTGCTAGCCACAACAAGTTGAGGGCATATTTGTTTCAACGATGGCCCCAAGTATTTCACATAATGTGATACATATGGAACATTGTAGATTCTCCACAAAGGGACATTTGCGCAAATTACTTCAGCTGCCTCTGCCAACGTATCTTCCTTTCATCGATATCCACTCTTTAACGAGAAACCTTTAACGAAAAACGTTCGCTGACCTGTTGTTGAGCATGTCCTGGATCTCGTCGAAGGTCTTCCCCTTGGTCTCCGGCAGAAGTGGGCTGACGGAGAAAACGAAGCCGAAGCCGCAGCACACGGCCAGTATCCAGAAAGCGGTGTATATGCCGTACGAGGCGGCTACGTCCCGAAAGAACCTAGAATAAAAACGGGCCGAACGGCACGAAGGACACCATTATCTATGAAAACAGCAAAATAATCACGTTGTATGGCCTCACTGAGATATTTTTTATTTGTCGTTTAAGCGGCAGCAGAAATAGACCATCGTCGGACGAACAGACAGAGAGACAGACATCTGAGTGTTAGTAATAGGGTCCGGTTTTACCCTTTAGGTAAGGAGCCCTAAAAACTGTGGTAGGACCACGCAACAGTGTTCGCTGTTGCACGAATGGGCAGGTCCGTCCGGGTGAGTACCACTACCTCACGGAAGACCGGCGTCAAGTGGAAGTGTTAACACTTCTGCGTTTCGTCTGGCGAGTGAGGCATCTGCAACCGCATCGTTATCACTTAACATCAGATGAACCGCCAGCTCGCTCTGCTCGTCAGGCCCAGCAAAAAGAGAAACAGTAATTCACTTTTGTGTGGCCACGCAGCAAATGCTGTTGCACGAACGAACAATCATAGATTGAGCGGTGGTTATCATTTAACATCAGGTGAATCGCTCGTTCGCCACCATGTCACTCCCTTTTGTGAGAAAAGTTGGCTAATCGCGTTTTTTTTGTATGCATTGTTGTAGTCGTTTTATTTCTTTATTAATTTTTTTCCCGTGAAAGGTGTGATTTTATGTTATCTAACTTTACATGTTTAATGAGAATATAATTAAACGTAAACGGCTCTTCTAATTATTCAATTCAATCCATGTTGGATGCTTCGAGAGACTTCATTTCTAAAACAACCTCTAAAACTCTAAACATTTCTGGTCTTGACGTGGGAAACTCCCCTGACGTTCCTCAAACTTGTTCCTGATTGAGTTTCATCGATGGGGCGTCGCACCTATACCTATAGAAGTGTCCTCCAGGTAGAAGTGTCCTGTAGGTTGGTTGCCTAGACAGTGTCTCACCTCGTCCATACGAACCCGGCGAGCCAGCACATGAAGGAGGCAATACCGCTGGCCAAGCATTTCGTCCTAACCGGGAACATTTCCGCAATGAGAATCCACGGTACAGGGCCCACACCTGTGGAGTTGTATTATAATATATTACAATATAATATATACTAAGATCTTTAAATTAGGCTTCAGTATGTTTGTGCCCACAAAACTCAAAAACCAGCCAATGGATTGTTAAACATAGCTATTACTGCTACATGCTATATACAGGATACTTTTTTAATAAAAAAAAATTATAATAACGGAAAAGAAAAAAGATCAGCTAATTTCATCCGGGTTCAGCTAGTTCAATGTAAAATATTATATTAATTATTTTTTTTATTTTTTTAATGTATTTATGTATATATTTGTTTATTTTTCATACATCTCACGTTCATTATTCAAATGTTTTCGAAGGGAAGACTACAATAGATCTTGTAGGTTAGGGTTTCTTAAATTTTTGGCTCCACGTACCCCTGTTAGTTTCCAGATGACAGCGAACCCCTTAACTAATCAATCATCCCTAGACTAGATACACACAGTGGTCGTTGCGACTAACGAAACAACAATTTCCACACATAAATTAATTTTTAACAAAAAAAAACCGACTTCAAACAGGAAACTAGACAGTACAAAATAAATTTGCCGAACACGAAGGATTCGTGTTTTGATTTAGTTACTCACAAATGTTTAAATAAGTATTTTATAATTTTAAAGTCGGTGCTAACTAATATTAAATTTGAGGATTGCCCTCGATTTCTCTGGGTTGCCATCAACTGATCTATTTCCTCCTTTCCAACAAAAAAAAAACAATTATCAAAATCGGTTCATGAATCACGAAGTCATCGGCGAACACGAAAAAATATACAGTCGAATTGTGTAACCTCCTTTTGTAGTCGGTTAAAAATAGCAAATAGAAAAAAATGCGGGGCGCGCTCACCCAGCGTGAACAGGATCATGTAGACCACGAGGCAGAGGAGTGGTATGAAGGCGACGCCCGCCACGTCGTACCCGTAATGGGTGTCCAGCAGCGCGTACACGCCGATCGCGGCCTGGGAACCGGCTCAAGTCTCGCTACCAACGGAGTGATGCACGCGATCCAGTGGAAGCGGTACGAGCTTTCGCGGCTCGGAAGATAGCTTTGACTTAACGCTTGTTCCGAACCAACACAGAGATGACATTGACCAGGTTCTGACATGAATTTTGTCAAAGCTTGCCAATTTAGTCAAAGCTTGTCAATTTTATCAAAGCTTGTCAATTTTATCAAAGCTTGTCAATTTAATCAAAGCTTGTCAATTTAATCAAAGCTTGTCAATTTTATCAAAGCTTGTCAATTTTATCAAAGCTTGTCAATTTTGTAAAAGCTTGGCAATTTTGTCAATTATGTGAAGGCTTTTGGATTTGGAAATTATGTCCTTCCAAAAATAATGAAAAACTCTGTACAGAGGCTGATGATACCTTCTCATAGCCTCTCGGCATAGTCCACCACGCGGCCTCACTTCGGATTGTCGGACTTCACAAATCGTCAATATATAATTTTTTGTTATTTCAAAAATATGCATTGGTGCCGGTACTGGAAAATCGAGCGCCCGGACAATAATGACTCCGTGGCGCAGTTGCTAAGGTATTGGCTTCGGCGTCGGGGGTCGTGGGTTCGATCCCCACATGAAACGATTATTTGTGTGACCCACAGATAGTTGTTCCGCATCTGGGTGTTTGTCCACGTGAAATTTAAAAAAATCAACACAGAATAATGTTATCCTAAAGGATACAGAATAATGTGGATAACATGTTTAGGATAACATTATTCTTCCTAAAGGATAACGTTATACTACAACACAGAATAATCTTTGTTGAAATATTCTTTGTTGTAGTATTCTGTTGTGTAGGGGCAATGTTTTAAAAAATGGAAAAAAATAATGCTATCACGGTTAACTCATTAACTTGTCTATAATAAGACATTCTAATGAAACTCACCAAAAAGATGGTGAGACCCAGGGACGTGGTCCACATCAACAGCTTCCTGCCGAGCCTGTCCACCACAAGCGGCGTGACGCAGCTGGTGACGACCTACCCCGGAATATCGTGGATGAGTATTTTTTATGTGAAGATAAAGTGAGCTGGCGGTGCACCTGATGTTAAGTGATAACCGTGGACAAATGTCCATCGGCGGCGACAATCAAAATTTGCCCGTATCTTTTTATCGTGTTGACTCAGGATCTTGATTTTCACACCTAATATCATCACTGCATAGTATAAAACAAAGTCTTCCCGCTGTCTCTGTCCCTATGCATGCTTAGATCTATTAAAACTACGCAACGGATCTTGATGCGGTTTTTTTACTAGATAGAGTGATTCAAGAGAAGGGTTTACATGTAAGATACATTGCACCCGTGCGAAGCCGGGGCGGGTCGCTAGTATGCTATAAATTTCAATTCCCCGTTCCGCTACGATAGACGGACAAGATAGTGATCTTATAAGGGTTCCTATTTTTACCTTTTAAGGCACGGAACCCCAACAATTAATTACATCTGTGTAACTCAATTCTACAATTGAAATATTCTAATTAAACAGTTTGGGATTAATGTATGCTCACTAGACAGTAGGTATGTAAAGAAATAAAAAGTGTGAGTATATACGCATGTAAGAAGTTATAACTAAACATTTTATCCAGTGTAGCCAGTCTCTTTGTTTGTGAAAAAAAAAAGAGATTAAACAACATAAAACGGTTTTATTAAATAACTGGGAAATATAGGTAAATGTAAAAAAAATGTTACTGGTTGCCATGGTAACTCCATGAAATCTGTGTCGCTTCTATGCATAGCCAAGACATATATCTTTCAGCTGTAGCGCTCCGTAAGAATTCACCCATCATTGTTCCCAAACGCGCCAAAAAACCTGTACAATCAAGAAGCGCGGCCTCTTCCGCGGCAGTGCAACTGAACCGAGTTTTGAATGAACCCCACCTGGACCACACCCATGATGATGGTCCCGTCCGAAGCGGACATCTTGGTGCCCACTTTCGCGAGCAGCTCCTCCATGTAGAACAGCAGCACGTCGATCCCGGAGAGCTGGAGCAACATCGCGAGGAACACGCATATACCTGGAATGAGCACTCCGTTCTTCCAGCTTGTTGCATTTGATTTATATTCAGCTTTTATAGTGCCGCGTTATGGTCCGCCAAGCCGCAGTGGGGCCGCGTGGTGGACTATGCCCTGATACCCTTTGTACAGAGGGGGCCTTTGCCCGGCAGTGGGACATGTAGAGGCTGTTACTTTTACTTTTTTATAGTGTCATTCACTGCCTCTCTGCGTGTCACAGAAAACCTCACTTTACGTTCTTTGAGAGTTTTGTAATTGAAAATTTATATTCGGCTCTTATAGTGCCAGTCTCTGCCGTTCTGCGTCTCACGAAGACCGGTGTGAAATGGAAGCGTTATATTGCGTGTCGTCTGATGAGAGGTAGCTGGGGCCTACTTTATTAAAATTATAAATCTAGTGGCGTTTGAGTTTGACGACCCAATTGGCGTGGGGAGTAGTGCACCTGCCTCTTGCGCCAGAGGGCGTGGGTTCGATCTCGACTACTGGAAAAACATTGTGTAATGAACGCAGTGTTGTTCCAGTGACTAGGTGCTTATATATGTATAATATGTATTTATTTAAAAAGAGAATAGTATGTTTAAGTATGTCTATCAGTTATCTAGTACCCATAGTACAATCGTTTAGTTTTGGACTAGAGTACGTTGTGTGAAAATGTGTCCGCAAACATTTATTTATTTATTATTAGTACCTACCCATCGTAGAAGTGTCGCTTAGTCAGGGACTAGAGAACGTTGCGTCGAGAAATATGAATTTGGACCATACCCAAGGCCTTCACGTTTCCCCTGGTGGCCCACAAGTCCTTGATGCTGGGCGCCACCTTGAACTCCCTCGCGACGACTCCTTGCAACGCCTCCAGCTCCGGCTGCACCTGCTCTCTGCTCGTCCCGCGCAACTTCTGCAGCACGTCGGACGCCTCCTGTATCCTGCCTGCAGTGCAGATACGAACGAACCGTAGCTAACTTGGACATCATATTTTTTTAGGTGAAACTTCCAATGCGACAAGGTTGCGTTAAACGTTCAACGCTCCTGGGGAGAAAGAATAGAAAGAGACATAGCGAGAGTGAATGCGGGGCACTCGAAGTTTCACTTCTTCCGCGACAAACAGAGGGACAAGTATACTTCAACTTCACGCCGGTCTTGTGTGAGGTCGTGGTACTTACCCGGACGGGTCTGCCCATTCGTGCTACAGCCGAGGCTGTTGCGTGGCCCTACCACTGTTAATAAATAGCTAATCACGATTATTTTTGAAGTTATGCTTCTTTTGGCGCGTTTGGGAGAAGTGGTGATGTTGAATTTTTATGACGCGCGCCCACAACGACAAGTAAAAGCGATACCATGTTGGTTTCGAAGCGACATAACTTTATCGTGTTACCTTGGCAACCGATAATATCTTTGAGACAAAAATAAAAAAGTAAAGTAACAGCATTATTACCCACTGCTGGGCAAAGGCCTCCTCTGTACTGAGGGTATTAAGGCATAGTCCACCGATCGACTCCTTTGGGGATTAGCAGACTTCAGATTACGATTCGAAAATATGCAGGTTACCTCACGATTATTCCATTCACCGCCGAGCACTTAAAATTAACAATTTCATTGATGACGCCACTGGGGATCGATCTCAGGTTGCTCGAGTGTGTTTTTTTTGTAATGTGAGACGGTGGCAAGCGAGCTGGCGGTTCACCTGAGGAATTGATAAACGCCGCCAATTTACATTGCGTTGCCACCTTTTAATTAGGTGGGCAACGGCTACCTCACTCACCAGACGAAACGCAGAAGTGTGACAATTCCACTTCACGCCTGTCTTCTGCGAGGTCATCGTACTAACCAGGACGGACCTGCCAATTCGTGCGACAGCAAACACTCGCGTGGTCCTGCCACAGCCAATTGTTGCTGGCTTATTGAATTGACAGAGACACTGAGCTGTAACGGGCGGAGGAACGTCACGTGCCTTTGTAGACTAAGTAGAAGGGCGTCTCCGGGATGAACCAAGTGCAGGGCACGTAGAAGAGGGACAGAATACCGCCCGTTGCGGTCAACCCCCAGTACGAAGTGAAGGGGCCTATCGCGTAAGCCAACAAGAAGCCCACGTTGATAAAGAGCAGGAACAGCGCGCTGAGGGAGCCGCGGATTTTGTCCTGTCGGAATGAAAAAAACAAAAAAAAAAAACGATAAATCGTTAAGTGTACGATAGTTTATTATGCTATCGCTTCATCTCTTGTATTAACTGATGCTTTTGCTTTCAGTCTCGAGACTATTAAAGCTTCATCTGACGCAGAACCGGTGGGCTAGCCAGAACCCACGGGTTTGGGCCCTCCGCTGTGGGTAGGGCCGCGCATGTGCTCATGCGTGCGTTTAAGTATGGTGTGTTATCTAAGGGCCATCCAAGGGAAATTCGTGAATACCCAATTGGTATTTCAGTGTGTTGTTTAAACAAAAACTGCCAATGGCGAAGATTGTTCATCGTAATTACATTTTTATGTAGCGATCTAAACGATAGTAGATTTTAGTAAGACGTGTTCCTTCTCGACGTTTTATATCATTCTTTTCAGCGCCAATTTGAACTTGACACTATATTCTTATGACGCGCGCCCACAACGACACCGAACTATTTCCAGAGGTCGATCTGGAATTGATGTTTGGAAGGGCTCAAAGATTGAAGAATAGTATAACGTAATTGCTATAAATATTACAAAGATCAACAGTAACTATTACTTTTATGTTTTTCATTAAACTTTTTTGAAAACATCTTAAATATTCATTCCTTTGGGTACAATAATTAGAAACTTATCATTGGTTTCCTTTTATAAAATAATGTAGACTAATTTGTTAGGACAACTTGTAGGAAATTATAAGTTACATGTTTTATATGTATCTAATATTTTCTGGAATTAAGGAATAACTCCTGCGCAACTTATCAACTTATATGTATATACATATATCATCTGTAACATTCACTTACATATATCATACTAGCTGCTACCCACGACTAAGTCTGGGTAGAATAGGCTGAAGGTGTAACATTCAGACAAATTATAACCTATGTGTTATTCTGATGTATAAGCTATATTATTGTAAAGTTTCATTAAAATCCAGTCAGTAGTATTTGCGTGAAAGAGTAACAAACATCCATCCACACATACAAACTTTCGCGTTTATTATATTAGTAACGACAGTAAGGATTAGTAAGGAAGTAAGGATATGCGTCATCTTTAAACACCATCGGGTCCTAGCACAGTTACGTGCCGAGGAGGCGCCAAGCCCGCCAGCGGTACCCACCTCAGCGATCTCGCCGATGTATATGGGCACGGTGGCGAACATCATGCCAGTGGCGCAGCCCCACGCCAGCCGCGCGACGTACATCGCCGGCAGACCTGTGGCGACGCCAGCCAGCAACCAGCCGAGCAACAGGGGCACGTTCGAGCCCATTATAATCCACCGTCGCCCCACGCGGTTGGATAGCGGCACCGTTATTAGGGGCCCTGGATCCGACGAGATGATTTCACGAACGGACCAAAAATGATAAAGTGTACTGGGCGGTCCTCCCCCAGCCACCGATTAGTATAGTCGACGGCCATCGATGTCGCCGAGATAAATCAATATTTTAATACGTGGGGCAAAAACTTTGTACCTACCCCTTTTTACGAAAGTAGTTTAGAGCACTATAAGATTTCCCACAGTTATCACTACATAGTATAAAACAAAGTCATCCCGCTGTCTGTCCCTATGTTTGCTTAGATCTTTGAAACTACGCAACGGATCTTGATGCGGATTGACTCTTTTTTACTAGATAGAGTGATTCAAGAGGAAGGTTTATATGTATAATACATTGCGCCCGTGTGATGCCGGGGCGCTCGCTAGCAGTTTATATAGAGAAGGAGTGCAGAATTTAGAAAACATTACACACACCACCATGTGTTTGTCACACACACGCATATATACATTTTTGTTTATTGTGTATTGTATTTGAGATTAGAATAATATTGTTCAAACTTATAATTTAAACTTATTATGGTCGAATTTCGACCACCCAGCGTCCACCAGTATACATAATAAATATATATTTTTCCTTCATTCGAACTGTTACTTTACATATCTGCTTTGGCAATATTTAATTTTATTCATTGAAACTGTATCGATTACAATACAAATTTCCGAGAGTAGAACTGTCATATCTGTTAGCCTTACAAAGATACTCATGATAATTATTAAAAATTATTTGCTATTGTTTTTTTAGTTTATTAAGTTGAGAAGAGAATAATCTATTTCATTCAATTCTTTATTTTTATATGTATGTATATACTTATTAATTTATATTATTGTATATGTATGTATAAATATACTATTATGGTGGTACAGAGAAAGGCTTTAAACGCAAACGCAATAAATATGACAAACGGAAATCTATCAGGTAATCTTATAAGGATTCCTGATGTCTTTATTAGCGTCGAAAATTGACCTTATTTAAGTTATTGATCACAAATATTCATTCAAAATCTTCGGTAATGTATATTAAATTATAAATTATATAGTTGAATATATTAACTACACTCCCATACACGGATAAGTAGAACATAATCAAAGTATTTATTATTGCTTTAATTTCAGCTGTCAATTTAATAACATATATCGTATTCATTTCCTCATTCGTTCTTTGTCGTGCATCAATATATTGGAATTAATGCAAACGGGTTCCAGTATTTTTGTGTTTGCGTTTTATTATGAACAACAACCGAAGACTTCCTTTCTTCTTTTTTCTAATTAAGTTATACAGAACATAGAATGGGATATAACTTAGTACTTAGGATACTATAAATTGTTTTCTGATTCAATGTATCGAGGGAAATTGAATTTGAAAAAATGGTTCCGTACCATTACGTATAAAGACTGCAAAAAATCATGTCTGTCGTATGGGAGACCTATTTAAATATATTTTTATTCTGTTTTTTAGTGTGTCTATGTGTCTCTGCCGCTATAAGTTAGTCCAAGAAGTGGTGACGTCATTATCTAATAGCCACAGATTAGAAAGATGACAAGTAGAATATAATTTCAAAAACTAAATAACCCGATTTCATTTCTGTGTTTTTTTTATTTTGATATACCCAGTGTCACTCTCACAGTAAATACGAATCTAACGACACCTCTCGAGCTAAAATCCATCAACCCGTCCAGGCGGTAGAGCGTGCCAAGCAATTATACATACATACTCTCGAAAAACATAACCCTCCTTCTGGCGCAATCGGGTAACTATATTAGAATAGTGTAACGAGACTTTAAATGATACAAACCTAAAAGCCCTCCGAGCACGAGAAGCGATCCTATCCAGGACTCCTCTTGCAGTGTGGGTACGTGGGAGAGCGGGGACCCTGGGCCCCTCAGCTGTGGCAGCACCGGCGACGTCCACCCCATCGACATGCCTGTACACAGGCTGCCGTAACTTGCTGCAAACGGTGTACAATGACAGTTTAATGGAACAATCTTACTGTACTTATAATTTCTTACTACGAAGCGGTGGTACCTAACGAATCTACGTACATATTTTTCGACCAGGGCCAGATTTAGAGGTCTGGAAGCCTCAGGGCAACAAAGAAGTGGAGTCCCCTTGGCCCTAAATTATTCTCTATTGATTTCTGTTAATATTTTATATTTATATTTATATTTTATATATTAGATTAAAAGTAAAACGCGAAAAAATAATGAAATGAAAAGTTGTTCACTAATTGTTTACTAATTAATAACCAATTTTTTTTCCGAAATCTCTATTGTGCGGCCGCTAAATTTGTGGAGGCCCCGAGGCTGTTGCCCCGGTTGCCCTCCCCTAAATCCGGCCCTGTTTTTGACGATTCATAAGAGCGCGCAAGCGCTATTTCTATTTCAATCAATATATTTTTGAATTTGATTTAACAGGCGTGCATTATAACGAATGGATTAAGATTTTTTAACGAAGATTTTTTTACACGTCGGTAAAAATAAAATTATTTTTAAAAAATGGACTTCAAAAATGTTTTAAAAGTTAATTAAAATTAAAAAAAATAGGCAAATCAAAATTAAAATTATATAATATTTAATTCCACATGTTATATAGGCACTCCGAACGATAATAACACTATTTATATATATATTTTCTTAACCATGACCACCCTTGGACTATCCCAAGTAATCAATTCATTTCACTATTCACCACTCCATTCGGGTCGACGTAGTTAAAAAAATTACAATAAATCACAACCTATGTAGGCACTAGTCAATTAAACTAGTTAGTGGAATATCATGTTTATCGTCTTCAACTGCATTAACAGGTTTCGGATTGTCCGTCTCTGAATAGTGCGAATACAAAATCCATCTTTAACTTGTGTTTTATTCTCAGATTCCTGATTGAGGTATTTTAAATAAATGTAAATTTAGCCGCTTTGTCATTTCCCAGTCAATTTGCAAGTTTTTATTGCACTAGTCCGTATGGTCTAAAAAATTATTGCACAGTGCGGCTGTACTACCAATTGTTTCCATTGGCTTAGAAAATGGGAGAAAAAATGTGGACCGAATTGTGAATCTTTAATTCTAAACCATTCTCGAATCTACCTGAAGGCACAAACAAAATTTCATTAAAATCGGTCCAGCCGTTTAGGAGGAGTTAAGTGACATACACACGTACAGAAGAATTATGTAAAGATTTTACAATATCAAATAAACAATTTACCAACAAATAATATGTACCAACGGTATTTTTGATTTTTTCATAAATACTCTACAAAAACTTGTTCATATGGAGTTAGCTGGTATGCCAACTAAGGTATTAACAGTTTATTTAATAAGTTTTATATCAATTGCCTCATATATTTATTATTTATACGATGCAATGCAACGCTTTTGCAACCCTATGGGTGTTGCATAAATTCAGCGGCAAAAACTGAACAGCCTATTGGCGTCATATTTGTAAATCCGCCAATGCCGCTGTGGGAATCGAACCCACGTCTTCGGCTTTCGCTAGTATATAGAATTTAAGCCATCATCTGATATTAAACGTAGGCTACAACGTAGGGCGGCTAGGGTTAATCAGTCTTTCAGATTAGTTCGATCCTTTGGCGATGTTGGAGATGTTGGATCACTCTGCATCTTTTACCGCATTTTTCAGGGGGGGGGGGGGGGGGGGGGGGGGGGGGGGGATCCGAGGAATTATTTGGATTGATTCCGGCGGCTGAATTTCACAACAGCGTGATTTTCAAGGCATTGCAAGAGAGCATACTCTTTCCTAAAAGGCCGGCAACGCATTTGTAAGCCCTTTCAGGTGCAGGTACGAGCATTGGGGAGTCGAACCCCTTGGCCCGGGCCCTAAATGACTCCTAATATCGGACGCGGACAGTATGGTATAACGCGTGACTTAAGCTTTCGGGTATTGCAGGTGTTCATTGACAGCGGTAATCACTTACCATCAATGGAGCCTCCTGCTCGTTTGCCCCTTTTTCCCATAAAAAAAAAACTGAATAGTGCCAATATAAAAGGTCACGAATAATCTACATTAAAAGTCATCAGTTATTTTAGTGTCTGCTTAATCCATAGTTTAGATTCAAACTATAGTGTCTGTCTCAAGTTGAACCTATAGAAAATAATTAAAATTGATTAAAAGGCCGCGGCCGTCTCGATGCGGATGCAAAAAGGTCCGATCCCAATCGACGCAGTCTTGTTCGCCTTGAGGTTACGCTATGCGACTCGTTTAAATATTTAAAACACGAAACACAGTTAATATTATTTATAGTGCATTAAATTTCAGTTCCTGGGTATTACAAATTTAGAATTGAATACAATGAATGACTTTTGTGAGTGAAAACTTGTTCAGTCGCGTTGAGCACTTTTTGTGTGAAATGGAACTCGCGTCATCGTCGCCTAAAGCTTTTTATTTATTTTAATTATTTTTATATACATTAATAATTTTTAACATAAAAACAATAATTAACAATTATTTTAAGATAACAATTATTTTATTTATAAATAAACTTAGTTTTCACACTTATCGGCAGTCCCAAAGACATAACTAAACGTAATATATCATAGTTTTAAAACAAGATGGGGTAGTGGTTGACATAGACTTAACTGAGAGCGCGGGTTCAGATTTTAGTGGTGTTTGACATTAATTTTTCGTTTCTTGAATTTTATTTACTTATCGAACCTATAAATATTAATTTTAATATTTAAATAATTTTAAATGTTTGCAAATTAAATAAAATTTAACAAGATTTGATGTATATTATTATAATTACGTAATTTGTCAAAAGACTCTTGATTTATGAAAGGTTGTTGAATAAAACCAAATTGGAAACTTTATCGTGTTTAATTTTGGTTATTATTTTCGACGTTTTGGAGAAGAAGCTATGGCTAAGCTGTCATCAACTTTATTTGTTATTTATTTTATCCAATATATTCAGAACAGTACTATATTTGTGAAAAAAATGTAAATTCGTATGTATACGTAATCATTAATGTACAAGTTCTAACATTTAGAAGTTATAGGTAAGTTTCCAATAGAATTATAAGCATTGCGTTTAAAATCTGAAACGCAATAAAACACAACCACATTTAATATAAAATATTGAATATGTAAAAAAAAAAAACTTACCCAAAGATGCCGCTAAATATTGGCGCCATTTTAATTTCAGTTCTTTTTTGAAAACTTCGAACATAATCGATGAAAGGCACTTTTTTAATATCTTTTAAAGTTCAAATCTGTTTTTTAATATCTAATTTGCCCACTACAAATTAAAATAAACATTTGTTTGAGCTTAGCTCAAATCGTGCGCACGGGTTGCTACTGCATTTAATTCTGAACAAACGTTATTGTTTTACCGCGACAGAACTAGTTTCCTTTCACAATGTTTTTTACTGTAAATAGGTAATCTGTTAAATATATTTATGATTTAAAAAAAAAACGTAATTGCCAATCAATGAAATAGTACCAAAGTAGTAAATTGAATGTTTTTTTTCGTTTACATTCGCGCTGTTTAAATTCTCTACGTTAAAAATTACCTTTTGTCATTATAGAAGTGGTATTTTAGTGCTGTTTTTGTTTTGTGCAACAAAACATTTATATGCTAATTATGTTCAAATAATTGTTAATTATTTATAATATTGTATTAGTATAATTCTTATTGTAAAACTAAGTACTGAAATCTTAATAGATTTAATTAAAAAATACATTTCCGTTTTAAGCTTAGTGAATTTTAAAGTTAAATTGAGCCTTTTTGATTTAATTTCTGCAAATCATGGCAAATCATTTAACGGTAAAGTTATACTTACCCTTGATCTTGAAATATAATTATACTCGACCTTCACATTTAACCGATTGCTTGTGTACACAAAAAACGACTTTTTACTCATTTAATAAGAGCTAAAATAAATTTAAATAGTAGTTTAGGTATATTTGCTACAACATGTTTATTTTTTTAAATATTTTATGTAGCGACAACAGGTTTACTCATTCGGAAATACGACTTTATGAATCTGAACCCAATCTAGGTTATGTAGGTAGTAAGGTGGAATTTAAATGATTAATTATGTTTGAATTAGGATGGCGCAATGGCTTAAGTGGTAACTTAACTGCCAATGATAGATCTCAACAGTTGATTTAGCGTTCCGTCTGGTGAGTGAGGTAGCCGGGGCCCACTTCATTAAAAGGTGGCAACGCCTTTGCAACCTTATGGGTGTCACAAGTGTCCATGGGCGGCGGTTATCACTTACCATCAGGTGAACCTACTTACCATCATTAGGTGAGCTTACTTGCCATCTTATCACATAAAAAATAATAATTTTTGTGATCCACGAAAAGCCTTTTTAGGTCTGTATATTAAGTACTATCCGTGATTTAGTTGATGCTTGTACCATCTCCGCGCCACAGGACTTCACTTGTGCGGAAATCAAATAAAAAAGCTATATAAGCTGTATAAGCTTTATAAGTGGTGGCCACTTGGGCTTGGGGGAAAAAGGTTTTGGTTACCTGATTGAAGGTAATCACCGCCGCTATGTGCATCTGCAAAACAGAAGGGCTTGCAAATGCGTTCCCGGCCTTACAGGAAAGAATATACTCCCTCCTTGAAGGTTCCCAGGTCGTAACGGTTTGGGAAGAACGCGAGCGATAGCTGGATCCACAGATTTTTGTGAGAGGCAGAAAATACCCCAAAAATCGTGCTTTTGTAGAACGCTCGATATTTTTTTTAATGTGAAAAGTTGCCAAATGAGCAGGCCGTTCACCTGATGATAAGTGAATACCGCCGCCCATGGACATCTGCTACAGATGCGTTGACAACATTTGAAAAATTGGGTTCCGGCTACCTCACTCACCAGACGAAACGCGAAAGTATTTGTTATACTTCCACTTTACGCTGGTCTTCTGTGAGGTCGTGGTACTTACCCGGACGGGCCTGCCCATTCGTGCAACAGCCGAGGCTGCTGCGTGGCCCGACCACCGTCAAAACCTACACCGTCAAACATCGAGGTGGTGTGGATGTGGAACAATATCACGGAATTCCCATCGTGATAAATACGTTTGAAGAATCAGAGTGATCCAACATCTCTACGCAGAGCCAAAAGTCATACTTTGGATTTTGATCTTAACCATCGATATCATTATTCGCAGGTCTGATGGGGTTTTGATGTTGAATACTGTTCCGACACAGTGTTTTTACAGCGACTTGCACAGAGTCAAGTTATTCGTAGGCATAAAAAGGGTGGATCACCTCCCAAGAAATTAAGGGTGTCACAATCAGCCGGGAAACTGACGGCGACAGTTTTTTGGTACTCAGAAACAGTTTTAATAAGGACAAAGGTGTCTCTATAACCGGACAATACTTATCATGATTCTGGAGCGGTTAAAAGAGGATATTGAAGAAAAAAGAAGTGGAAAATTGAGCAAAGTTGTCCTGACCTTGCGAGGCATTGTGCCTGTCGACAAGAGCCGTGTTTTACTGGCTACCATGCACAAGACGGCCTTTAATGTTTTAAATCATCCACCCTATAGTGTTCTGGCTCTATGAGTGTTAAATATCTCTTTCCGAAAATAAAAAAGAGCTTCGTGGAAAGAAGTTTTCCACTGATGAAGAAGTCAAGAGTTTGTTGTATTTTTCCGACGGGGAAACAATATCTATTATGATGGTATAATTGAACCAATCGATATAACTCAAAATTGTATTCATCTTGCTGGAGAAAGCCTTTAAGCCCCCCCCACAAACAACGCAAAAGGCGTTGTTTTTGGGGCTTAATTGCGTTAAATGCAATTAACAATTTTATTAGTGCCGGGATAGTACTATACTTTCGGTGCTCGAGTGAACTAAATTAAAACGAGCTCACCTAGACACTAAGGCATCACCACTCTAATAAAAAGAAAGTAATTCAACTTTTTTAAACAATAAATGGTTATCATAGAATTACAGCAATAAAAAAAGGTTTTTTTGTTGTACTTTATCCAATGTCAAAGGTGAACGTCATTTCAATTGTATTTATTTTTTCGTCAAAAGTAATTTTGTCAGTCTTGTTTTTGCGATGTTTCAAAGTAAAAAGTTAAATTATCTCGTTTGAATCATTTCGGCCGGCTTCAATATTCTATCTACAGATAGATTTGATGACTAACGATAGTTTTTGACGTCAGCTCCATAATCTGCATTAAAAGCTCTGTGGTAGGACCACGCAACAGTGTTCCCTGTTGCACGAATGGGCAGGTACGTCCAGGCTAGTACCACAACCTCACAGAAGACCGACGTGAAGCAGAAGCGTTACACTTCTGCGTTTTGTCTGGTGAGGTAGCCGGGGTCCACATTATTGAAAGGTGGCAACGCATCTGCAACCCTTCGGGTGTTGCAAATGTCCGTGGGCAGCGGTTATTACTTAAATTCATGTGAACCGCCAGCTCGTCTGACACATTTCACATAAAAAAATTATAATATTTATGTCAAAATTCCATCTCCAGTAACTAAATCTATCTGCAGGATATGGAAACCGGCCGATTCGGCCGTTAATGAGACCAGTACACATTTTCTGAATGGCAAAATTATAACGATTCTTTCAATTTCTGTTCGAATTTTCTGACAGCTTAGTTTCTTCTTAGTTTTAAATTGTAAATTTTGTGTAGATAAGTTAACAAATACTTTCAGGTTCGGGATTCGAGCCGGCGGCTCCTGATTTCGTGCCGTATGATTATGTCAAAACAGTCTATCTGAGGCATGATTATTATTTCAATAATCATGCCTCAAGTTAAGTCATCATGGATAATTATTTCCACGGAGAGGAAACAAGTTTTCTCTATTCCGTGATTATTCCTTATGTTTCCGTGTTATACGAACTACACATAGCAAACAATAAATAATAAATTTAATATATTATTTTATTTAAAAACTACACACCCCTTTATATACCAACTATTAGCTACAGAACCATAAAGAAATCCTAAATACATGATTCCTAAGCCATTTTCCGTCGGAACTGACTAAAATTACCGTAATCAGTTTTACAAGCAGTTTGTAGAATGGCAGAACAGGTTTCCGCAGGATTGATCTATTGATTATTACAACAGAATGCAGTCTATAGCAAATGACGTGATATGATTAATGCATTCAACGTTCATTGCAATAGCAATTTGCTTTTAAAATCAGTTCTTGTATAGCTAAGACCCAATAGTTCTAAACAAGTTCGTACTTTATTTATGCGACATAAGTCACGACTATGTTGCTATTAAAATAAATAATAAAGAAATATTAAACTATTGCTATGATCAAAGTTTCATATATTGACATTTTGATTTTTTTTATGTAAAATTTGGCAAGATCGAGGGGCCGTTCAACTTATGACCACCGCTGACCGCAACAGCAGGTGGGTTGCCAACCTATTTTTACGAAATATAATACTTCCATTTCAGGACGGTCTTCTGTGACCATGGCCTCACTTCACTTCCCCAGACGAGCGTGATAATTCGTGGAACAGTAGAGGCTGCTGCTATAGTAAAATGGTGATCCTGTATTAAGTAACTAATTATTTTAGTTGTTTTAGTTCTGCTAGAATTTGAAAAAAAGTTTAATCTATATAAATAAAATGACAGAGGTCTGTCGGTGTGAGCGGAAAAAATATTAGATCGATTTCAATTAGGTAATTGTTCTAAGTTCCATTAGAGAAACATGGTCCTTATCTAAAAAATATTGATATATCTTCATTTAACGTAAAAGTCAATAAGCACTGTCTGTTCAGTGATGTGTGGTGTTCAGTGAGGCGTGGGATGAGCGGAGTAGTTGTTAAAAATAAGCAACGCAGGCGAAGTCGGGGATATCAGCTAGTTAATAATAAAGAAGGCCATGCTGCCATGTGGCTTAATGTTTGTGATGATACGTCTGTCGAGTTTTCAGACCAAAACACCTACCCCATGCATGAAAGTAAGATATAAGATCTTGAATTTTATTATTAACACTAGGTTAATATACAGTAACCCTCTATTATTGAATATGTTTTTTTCAAATTATATTTAAGAGAAATAGTATCAAACAAGAGGACACATTAATTGTAACTGGAGACCAATTAAAAGAGTTTGTGAGGGATAAAAATGTTACGTTGGACTTTTTGCCCCAAATGACTAATGAGACAATCTTTTACGTCATTTAAAATAGTTATTTTGTACAGTATTAACTTACTAGTTGCCACCCGCGAC